ACTCACCTTTTTACCTTAATTAAAATTAATTTTTATTAGATAGCTTTGTATTTTTATTTTTATTGAATGATTTTTCCATTTAATATATTAAAAAAAAAACTCGCCAGAGAAATAATTTAAATGATTGAAACAATTGTTTTTTTTATAAAGAACTTTTTTGTGATTTTATCATTAATTTTTTTCTTATTAAAAATTAATAAATATTTGCAAGTGATCTTTGTAATCAAATAATTCTCACTAATACTGCGCGTGGAAAATATAGTTAAAAAATAACCGCGCAAAAATTAACTGTAAAATAATCTTGCATCCAATATTACAAAATACTTGTTTTATTGAGAATTTCGTTATTTCACAGCATTAAAATAATAAATTTTATATGAACATTGCATGCACCTTAAAGTTAAACTTATTATTCTTGTATATTTATGTATTTTATTATTGTATTTTTCATTGCTTTTCATTTCTCCTGTGACAACTGCTGGAAATCAGCATCAGTGTGCGAAATTAGTTTATTTGTGTGTGTTGGAGAGGAGCGAGAGAGCGGAAAATCAGTGGAGCGCGCGCCGAAGTGAATGCGGTGGAGAGGTCTAGCGCGCCGAGAGCGAGGGATGCAGGATATTTCGCTCTATTACAAAAGTTGCTTCATCGTGTGTTAATTGCTTCTCTGGGTGGATAACTTCTCAACAAGTTGGCATGTCGTCCGCAGACTTGATAACAAATAGCCGAGTGGAATGGTGTGCCATTGTGTGTAGGAATTGAGCGGAGCAGCGACGGCGGCAGCAGTTCCGAGCGCCGATATTGCTCTCTCGCGTCTGGTGTGTTATTATTGCGGCGCCGGCTCCGCATGCATTTGATTCGACAACGCTTTGCATCACAATGCCCAGCCAGTGTAGAAACTTATTGCACACCCACAAGCACCCAATCCACTTCTTCTTTCAACTCTGGGGAAATTTTTGATGTTAATACAAAAAATGGATACATTTAAATAATCGCCAGTGTGTCGCAGTGAAAGATCAAAAACGGCATTCAACAGGATAATTATGCCTGTCTATTTATTAATCCTTGCCCTTGACGTAAATACAATTTTATATTAATACTCATGGTATTACTTAATAACAAACCGTCTGGGTGAGATTCTTTTTAAATTTATGGTTAAACGCTATGAAATATATTAACTTCTTAAAATGTTATTGAAATGTTTTTTCTCTCATTTATTATTGTTGTATTTATTTTTCAACATTCTTAAAATATATTGTTAACATGCAATTGTTGAAAATAATGATTTATTTAACAAAAGGAAAATAAATATTAAATATTTAAAAAACGTAAATTTTCCAAAACGTTTGCTAGTTAACCAAAGATTGCTCACTATAAGGCTTGGTTAAGATTGATTTTGCTATTGCTTGACAGCCATAAGATTTAAAATTTGCTCTTGAGGTGTCCCTTGTACTTTTTGAGACTTGCAGTGCTTTTGAAACTTGAAAGATCATCTTTGTTTGACCTGTAAAACAATCTCTAATGTGGCAAAGACGTAAAAAATGCTTTTAACCATATGAAACAATGGCGCGGGCAACTTCCTTTTAACTTCGAATAATTTTTTGCCCCAAAAGCAAATAACAAAGTAAGAAAAAGATGCATACATATATCTAAAATACTGAATAAAGAGGGACACGGACCAACTTATAACTGCATGTGTGGCGAGTTGTTATTTTTATATCGGCGGTGCTGTCGCGTCTTGGATTTCAACCTGAGCAAACAGTATTTTGTCTCTCACCGCCCGATGACGGAACAAGAAGTAAAATAAAAAGAGCTCCGCGCGACGCCGCTTAATGATGGAGCAACTTTTTTGGATACAGCACAATATCAATATTGGAGCAGATGGGCTATTTTTCTTGAGTGCCTTGTGAGAGAAGCAAATAAATCATTTGTGCCGCTGCCGATTCTTCTAACCTTTAATTTTCTCTCTCTCGAAAATTTTGTCCGCTCGAAATCGCTTATTAGTGTGTTGTGTGTGAGCTCCGGCGTGCGGTGTATTTGCATGAGAAATTTAGTCAGCATGGGTTTCGGCAAACAGGCTGAGTCACACAAATAAAACACGTAACATACTTTACTGTGCAGAAGAGGAAAATACTTGGAACACTTAATATATACTTGGTTTTGGCTCTCTCTAGGTTTAATCAAATAATCCGAGACAAGCTGCAAATTTTACTCTTCCTCGATGTGACTTTGTGATGCTTTCAAGTCAAATATTTGCCTGCCTTTCAGGTCACTGTATTATCAAAACTCAGCACGCACCGGCCATTTCTTGAGAATCTTTGTCTTTGGATATGGAAATCTTAATTGCTAAGCAAATCCTTGTTTAAATGTTGGTTTAGATTAGCGGATCAGCGGTGGATTGAAGAGGAACATTTTATTTTTAAAAAAGAAAGACACTAAATTGCAAATAAATAAATTATTTCAAATTGTTAAATATTATTTTCATTTTTAACTTTTTTAATGCAAATTATATATATAAAAATAATCAAGCTCCAGCAAGATGAGGATTAGCAGAGAAGGCAAACTTGGCATGAAATAGAGTTAATCAAGGTTGGCTGAGCAAAGATTTTTGTCACAAAAGAACTTAATTAAGTGGATATACAGAAGCAAAAGTAATTCGCCGGGAATTTGAGTGCACAAGACGCCGCGACGAGAACAAAACACAACCCGCTTTGCCTTGCCTGCCGAGCTCTCCTTATCTTATTTCAGATGTTCATTGTATAAATATGAGATGTTCAGAGAGAAGATGTCAAGACAATAAAATAATTTTGTATACATTAAAGATCACAACAACAATGAAAGTGTTCTCGAGACAAAACGCCCTGCGCACTGCTTTGATCTCTCTTGTCATCCCCCATTATCAAAGGGATGAGCAACCTGCGTGCAGTGTTTTCTGCCCCCTCATCTCTGACTTCAATCCACGCCTGCAAAACTGAAGCATTTACGTGCCCCACGCCTTTGTGTGCCTTTTATTTAAATAGGTTTTTTTTTTTAATTTGAATGTAATATTAATAGTTGCTAAAGAAAAAAAATTATATAATACTTTTCTTGACGAGCAATTTTAATATAAACCTCAATTTAAATTTATTTTTTATTAATAAAAAACTATCCCAGGAATAATAAATTTTATTTAGAGAGTTAAAAATAAAGTTCGGAACTAGAAATTTGTTTCTTTGCCCTTTTGTGTAACTTGGATTGGAATATGCTAATTTGCATGTTTATAACGTTCCTAAAGGGAAGCTATATGCCCCATAGAGGAACAAACATTATAATATCTGAAAATATGTTCAAGCAATATTTTAAAATAATTTTCTTTGAAGATTTAATTGCTTTTAATTTAATTTTGTTATTCTATGTATATTTTTGTTTTACTTAAAAATTTCCCGCAAAAACTTTCTCATCTTGTAAGCAAAGATGTGAATTTAATTTACAATTTATTCTTCAGCAGCTTTTTAACCTAATTAAAAAACCTTTATTTTCTAATTTTTCCTTCTTTTGTCACACGAAAGCTCAAAGCCTAATTACGCTTTGACAGGGCGCTGGCTTTGGCTTTGAAGTCTCGGTGCAGGTCACTTGCTGTTAGAAATTGTGTGCGTTCTTCCAAAGAACGACGTCTGTGTGTTGCGACGATGTCGTTAGACTGACTCCTGAATGTGCGTCCGCAGAGCTTGTCGCATTAAAAAGGCACAGGGAAATATACTGTCAGATTGTGAAACGACGTGCGCCGCGTGTGAAGGTTTGCGAAACACAAAAACATCACAACTCGCGCACAGAGAACTGGAAAATAATACAAAAAAAAAAAAAAAAATACGCGCGAGAGAGAAAAAGCTGCAGAGCAGAAAACGCGCAGAGCGGCCACGAAGGGTTGGTTCGTTGAAGCGCACTACAAAAAACATCATACATTTTGTTGCTCACAGTCAAGTTAGCAACATCATTAAATGTTTCTGGTTTAGTTGCGATTAAAAACGCGAAAGAGCGGAGACATTCCGCTCCGTCGTACGCTCGCCCCTGTGCTTTTCCTCCCTGCACCGCTGATATGCAAAAGAACAGGGAGCTTGACGCAAATTTTGCGGAAATAATAACTCGGCACCAACACCACTCAAAAAAGCAAACATGCACGACAAACAATCTTTCCCTGAAATAATACATTTAAGCATTGATTTCTTTTATGAAATTGATTTTTGTTCCATTAATGACATATTTAGTTTCAATTTTTTTTTACATTTTTGAAAATGATATAACCTCTTTTGTCATTTATCTTTTTTTTATAATAGATAAATATTTATAGGATTTCTTCAGAATTCAGATAATAAACTAATAAAAAGCTCGTGGTGAAAATACAAAACCATTTTTGATCAACAGCATCGAACAGACGCAACAAACGCATAGTCTACAGCAATAACAGAATTCTTTTTGTGTATAGGAAACTTTTTTTATCATTCTCACAATGCACTTCTCTTTTGACAGAAGTCAGTGAGTCAGAAGTAATATTCAGCATCAATTGGTCTCCTGCTGGCACGCGAATAAAAATTTCGTTTTGCCGCAAACAATGGCTGAGCTGCTTTTTATTGGTAAAGAAGTACTTTTTTATGACATTATATACTCGATTTCGAGTTCACTTATTGGCTTTTGTGCAGCTTTTGTTTGACGGCGATGAATACTAAATGCTACCCCATTATCCGCAGCCGCCAGGACACTTGGTCGTGTGCTAGCGGGGGGCGCATTCTTCCTTCATATCTGGCAATTGTTGAAACACAGCGGCACGCAGTTGAAAAAATGAAAAAAGTACACTCGCCGCATTTGTTATGATGTTTTATTCCGCGGACGGTTCGAGTGTCAGATTTAATAAAAGTCTATTTTAATTGTAGAAACTGTGTTGGCCGTTTTGCATGACATGCACAATGGAGAGGGTTTGTCGTTTCATCAAGTATGCTATAGAAATAAAAATGCACCAATCTCTGCGTTCCGATTTTATATTTTATAGACTCTGTTATATTTACACAGCAGCACATTTACATTTCGCTACGCCATTTTACTTTACCACTAACTGTTTTTTGTGACATGGAAACCTATTTTTTTATATGTAAGAGATTTCATCTCTTGTAAACATTTAACTTCAAATTTTTGTATTTTTCTTTTTTACATTTATTGATATCAGTAATGAGAACATTCATCTTTATTTCTATCTAAATTTGAAACAAAAATGTCGCAATTCTGCAGGAAAAATAACGTAAAATATTTGTGTAAATGCAATGAACATAAATAAACCAATATTTCAGACATTGAGCAAAAATAATATAATTAATAATATCATTTTAAGACTTGAAAATTGACAGTAAAATTAAGTAAAGTTTGCGTGCAGTCATTAACCACACATGATATAATTTTACTAATCTGAGTACGAAGTTTTGTCAGAGCCTGCGTTGGACGCGGGCGAAGCGGCCGCCTTGGCACTGACCGAATCAATGTTGAAGTAGTCGATGACCGAATGTTGCGGCGACGGCGTCCCGTTGCTGAGGCCGATGCTGGCCGCGTACGCCGAAAAGTCGGGAGGGGGTCGGATGATGGTCGGAAGGTAGCCGGTGCCCGAGTACGGGGCGGCCAGAAAGCGGCGACTGCTCGCGTTGGCCGCTCCGTAGCGGTGGTGGCCGCCTGGGGATCCAGAGGCCGCGGCCGCTATGGCCGCCAGTCCGGCCGGAAATGCGAGCGGGGAGAAAGCGGATTTGAGTTCTTCGTGGAAGGGAGAGGTGGGGGCAACTGCGGGGTGAAGGAGGTCGGCGGCCGTGGCCGCCGCGTTGGCCGCCACACTGCTACAAGTGAGCAGTTCAATGGCCTGCAAGATATCGCCCTTGCAGCGCTGCAGGACCACTTCGACCTCTGAGCGCCGACGGTTCGGAAAAACGCGCAGCAAAATGTCGATTGGTGAACGCTGAAAGAAGAACATTGGAACATTTACTTCAAATTTTTATTTAAAATTATAATTTAATGTAACACAAAAGAATTAACTTGAATTTGTGTTTTGAAATTTTTTTAGCTTTTTTATTTTGTAGACCTGCATAAAATTTTTTAAGATGTTGGCTTAAACAGTTGTAAAGCAAGCAATGAACGCAAAATTACTTCTCAAAAATACTAAATTTTGTTCTGATTCAACAATAGTAATAAAATTTCTGATAAAACTGACCTGGTAGTGTTGCTGATGCTGTTGGAACATGGCCGTGAACTGCTGTTGCTGGATTGCGCTTGGCGAAGGAAATCCAGTGGTTTGAGGGGCGACAGCCTTGCCAGGGGATGCAGGGTACGGCGGACTGGCCCTCGGACCACTGTTTTTAGGCAAACACAAATTTTCCGGTGACGCGCTTCTCGACTCCCGACCTGTATTTCGAGCAGGCGATGCATTTTCTGGTCCTCCCGAAGAATCTTCCGACTCCCCTGCGCTAACTGGAAACACAATAAAACCAATTTCAAATTAAAATAATCATGCCAATTTTTTTTCAAATTTTCTAAAAAAATTATACATGTATTAAAAAATTTTAAATTTATTTGCTAATATAGTTTTGATTGTGGTAGCATAAACTTATGACTGAAAAAAATTCGCTGCTGACCTGCTAGCATTTTTGAAGATTTGCTGCTCAACATAGGTGACTCGCGGTCACTAACTGCCCGCAGCAAGTTGGCGCCCTGTTCCTCGTCGGATTCATTTTCCTCGGTCAAATTTCTCTCTGCGGAATTGCGTTCGCTCGAAATACGCGCCCTTTTCTTCGAGTCTCCTGCAAGCAAAACGTGTCGTTTTCAATATAAAATTCGTCAATAGTTTAGTTTGCCCGTCCGACCAGCGCCAGCACTCAGGAAATTAATAAAATACCGTGTCTCACAAAGGATCTCAACAGAATATCCGAAAATAAAAGAGAAGAGAGAGAGAGAAAGATAAAGCTCAGAGTGTGGCGAAAATTTAATAAAATATATCCGCGTTGAGCTCGGGAGCGCGGCGGCACCTTTTCCTTTATATTCCGCTTTTATTGCATTTATCATAATATCACTTTACTCCCTGCATTGTCTGAGCTCAGTTCGGCGAAAGAATTTTTTAATCATGGCACAAACAATTTGTTATTGCCTCCTTTTTGTGTCGCCATCATCATTTTACAGCAGGTTACAATAGAGAGGCAGGGGTATATGAGGGTGGCAGAGTAGACACTCACACGGCGCTCCACTCTCACTCTTTTTATCTCTTCTCACTCCTATTTCTGACATTCCTCGACGGCGACACATCTCGCACCATCCCATTTTCGCACGTTGGTATGAAGCATAGAGGTATAGGTTTCCTTTTTTACCAAATTGCATTGAATTGAAACTTGAATCATTTTTGTTTTTTCAATTGTTATAGAACAGACAATTCGCCCCTTTTTGAAAAGCAATTTGTAAACTTTTGAATTCTCCATTAAAGTGCTTTATATAATTCTCTTCTGTTTTTGGCCCTTTTGTTGCGAATACTCAAGGAGCATTATTTTCGACTTTTGAACTCTGCTGCAAAACGTTAATAAGCTTTTGTTTGGCCGCTGCCTCGCTCATCTGATTCGGTTACGCAAATCGAACACAAAAGAGCGACTATATCATTCGCAACTGCGCTTGCCGGCAATTAAATCGAGATTAACGCCAGCTAGCGTAGCCAAAGAAAGGCGAGGCTGGGGTGGAATCTCTCATCTCAATAAAGCGCGCTCTTGCTCCCTCTCATCAGGGGATACTGAGAAAGAAATGAATAGCAGCGTGCGAGCACATGAAGAGAGAGAGAGAATAATAATAAGCGGGGTTCAAGTATCACCGCGATATGAACAAATAGTCGCAAGACTGTCAAGAATACACCAGACTGCTCTCAAACAAAACGCTAAATGGTGCGAACGTGAATTAATGACGCAGCCAGCAGAAATGCAGACATCGTTTTCTCTCTCCATTATAATGCAACCGGCACTGCAGTGACGCATGCATGGATGGTTCAGTAATAAAACCAATTATTTCTCTTCTAAATATTAATTTTGAATTTTGTGAAGTAACTTTTGATCAAATCTCAGAGGAAACTTTTTTTACTTTAATATTTATATCTGGAAATCAAAATCGGAAAGGGTTGAATCTTCGGCGGAGGAAAACAATTCTCCGCGCCGGTGATCTTGGAAACTTTTAATGGGGGAGCGAATGCATGTGAAAGATGAAAAGGAAAGAATAAAACTCTATATTGTCCCCTTCATTGTCTCTGGAATAGTCTTTCTTTCCTCTTTCATCGCAGGATACAATAGTCTGCTCCAGAGCGGACGCAGGAGTCTATAGAGGGCAAAAGAAATATCAAGTTTTTCTTTTGATTTACTTGAAAAAGTTTGTCAAAGAATCTCTAATGGCTCATATCAATTCTATTCCGCGCGTCTCTATTGTTGAGAACTCGTTTGCCTATAGTTTTAACTCCGCCGCTTCGGCTCGGCAGGGCTAAAGTTTGTGAAATTATTGCTCGGCGCGAGAGGGCATTTGTGTCTGCGTGAATTATTAAGCAATTTAAAGATTTGGAGACAAAAGAGGGGTTGGGCCGGCGTTCGGAAGCTGCGCGTGAGAGATATTATTTTATACAGTGTAGAAAGGCATGTGGAAATTTTGCCGTATTTCATTTGGCGACCCGCCCATCGCTGCTGCTAACGCCATGCACAGCGCTGCAAACGAAATTCATAGCGCAATTTCATATTGTGTTAATTTTATTTGTGCGCCTCGCTCTCCTGCTGCTCTCGCCGAATTAATAATATATTGCGGTGCCGCGTTCGAATAGACACTGACGGAAAATATACTGCCGAATGCCGCCCAAAAGCCATTGTTCAAACTCTACTTTATGCGACAAAAGGACTGCAACTATATGTACTGCAGTGCACGTTGGAAATTATACCACAGAACAAAACGACAGAAAAATTTTGATTTAAAAAAAAAACATATTATATTAAAATCTGATTAATGGAAAAAAGTAAAAAAATGAATTTGAAATATGGACAACTTAATAAATAATATAATATAGCTTTCTCGTATAGTTTATCGATTGATCAAAATACAAGATTTTATTTGCAATGTTAATAATGATTAAATAGTTTAACCTAATTAATTAATTTAAATTTATAATAAATCATTTTTAATTAACTGATTAAAAATTAATTTTACATGAAAGATGTTAAATATTATTATTCACAGTATCATCAATATTCAGGCCTAATTATTGTACTGCCTTATTTCACCCACACAAGATTTTCTTTCGCGACGTTTTAGCCTTGGGCTGAGTTACGAATAAGAAAACGTTTTCGAGAGTTGCCGAGCATTTGTCAAAGGTTTAGCTGGAGGCTAACAACAAAAGCTGATGCTGAAGTCAAAGCAGCTACAATTATTGCTTAGCGCGGCGTGAGTGAAGGAAATTGAAGTGCAGCGAAACACAGATATAAATGTGTCTCGTGGTACTTTAGAGGGAAAAGCCCGTCAACTTCAGCAAGTACATTAAAACAACCCTCTTCCAACCCCCGTTTAATCTAATAGCGGGCGGGCGCGTTCAAGATAAATAAGGATTCTCCGATGATCTCTGGTGCGCGCATCTTTTCCCTTTTGCTGCTCAATCAGACGTTTTTTTACCATCGGTTGAGCATATTTATTTATGTGAATGCAAAAATTTTAATTACGCACTTGACATGGTTACCGACAATATTGCAATTATGAGCCATTAGTGTATTAAAAAGCGGCGGAGGCACTTAACTGAGAGAAGGGAGAGAGCGCCGAGCAGAAAAACACTAATTTGCTGACCGCAACGAGAGAGTAACCGACCACTTGACTGGCCTTTTACCTCGAGAGGGGCCTCAAATGAAATCATTTTATCCAACCAATATCGCCATTCAAAAGAATATATTCCGCCGACGAGTTTCAAACTTGTTCACTGATTTAATTAAGCCGCGTTTGTACGGAGCGCCGTGGATTTCCCCTTGTTACAAGAGAAATGAAAATACGAATTGATTCTCAGCCAAGGTGGATGCTCGTGATGATTGTGAAGCCCTTCAACCTTAGATTTGAATTCATAACTTGCAGTTTTCCACTGCCTCCTATACATTGGAATTGTGGAAAAATGTATAGATTGATTTCATTTTTTATTATTTCCGCGCTGCATCCAAAGGTTTTCTTTTTGGTATCAGATTTACTATTTCCGCGGGAAATTAATTTGCGTGCGTTAGGGGACAGCTCAAAATAAAAATATTTCAATTGTTTTCCTCTCCGAAAGAAAAAATAAAAGCAAAAAATTCAAATTTATTTTAAGTTTTAAATAATGTAATTCCTAAATTAAAAGTTAGAATAACTTTATTGGAATTTGCTATTAATTATCACAACACTTATGTTTAAATCTTGTCTGAGAATCAGAAAATAAATTTCCATACGTATTGTGTGAAAAAACATTGACCTTTTTAAAACTTTATTTCATTTCAAATGAAGTAAGTAATATAGGTCAGAACTAATTTTATTTTTTTTCCAAACATTTGTATATATGCATGTAAATATATTCAGAAATAAAAATTTATACTATTTGCAGTTAAATAAATTTGGCAATTTAATAATCAGAATGGTTAAATAAAAGGATCAAGCAGAAATAATAGTATGTCTGGGCCTGAATCGTTGTCGCCGGCGAAGGGATTATTATCGACTATGGTGCGACTGCACATAATTAAATGACATTTTTGCGCTCAATCATTCAGCGGCGCCTCACATAGTTTTGATGTTTTGACTGGCTGCTGTGCATGACTCGGGGAAATTATTACACCCGAGTAAATGCTTGGCAACTGTGCAGGGGTCGATTATGAATTTAGCTCTCGGGGATAACTTTTATATATTAATGAAGTGCGGCGCGGGTGAAATTGAGAGAGAAAAAGCAAACCGCGCCATACAACCGCATCCCTCCCTCCTCTCATCAGCACTTGTGTTAAATTAATACGTACACCCGCAAAAAGCCGCCTTTTTTCACTACAAAATATAATAATTTGCGATGAAAGTCACCGTAAAATTTAAACTTTTCGTGAGCACAGAAGAAGAAGTGAGAGAGTGCGTGAGCGGAGCGCGCTTTGATCTCATTAAAAACTCTCAAAAAAGTAAACCAACTAAATAAAAAAACGCGGCTCACTTTCCTCTGCCGTGCTCAAATGTATGTAATAAAAAATATATATGTACACAATACTTTTTGGATATGGTGGCGGCAAAAGAAGAAAAAAAAGTCGGTGGACAAACGTTGGCATTTTGCTTTCTCTCGCAAAAGTCACAGCAGCGGGCTCGACGTGTAATTTGTTTAATAAAAGTTGAGCAAAAGGCAGCCGAGCGCGGAAGCGCAAATTACGAAGGAAATTTTCAATGCGTCACAGCGCCCTTCACGCGAATATCTTTGGAGTATTTTTTTTTTAACCTGGTGGCGCTTTTTTACAAAATTAAATATTTCCTTCCTTTTGGAGGCTTTTATTGTATATAATTTGCTGTAAAAATATTTTTCAGTGCGTTGAAGCGAGGGGTGCAGAAGCTGTCAAGTGCCGCGCACTCCTCGCAAGGGGCAAGTGAGGTCAGATGAGATAAAATGTGGGTGAGAGACTGCAAGAGAGAGAGGAGATCTGTTACAAATTACATACAGCAGATTGAAAGCGAATGCAGCATGTTATCTTTTTCTGGTGAATGTAGCAATTCTGCTAGTGCAATAGAGTGGAAGCAATTTGAGGGGGAGCAGATTTATTCAATGAACCCTCGCTACGTTCAAATCTGGAAGTAATCGGAGACTTATAAAAAAGATACTGTGTGCGTGAGTCATTTTTATATAGAGAGCAATAGAGAGTAGGGTACAAAATAAACTCATCTTTCATCAAATGTTACCGACAGTTTACCAAAAGGTTTTTTAGCAATATTATTTCATAATACAGGATTTCATGTTAACTAAAATTAACCTTTCCACCTCATAATGTAATCACCAAATTAATAGAACAAAAAATAATGTTTTGTACGTGACTTTATAATATGTTCATAATTGTTAAAAATATTAATTCAAACTTTTAAATTTTATATTGCAAATAAGTTTTAATTTGTAGTGAAGAATTGAACTCGGTTGAGGTATTTTCAATAAACTAGGTTTTGTATAAATTTCATTCATATTTTTGTCAAGCCAGTGGCTGTGTATAAATATAAATACTTTACAAATGATGACTTTTTAGTTCTCATTGGAATTAGAATTACTAGTGTTTATAATTTACTGTGATTTTAGAGTAATTTTAAATAAAAAAAAAAATCATTTAAAATTTTATTATAAGCAGATGTATTTAAGATTATGTACAACATTTATTTAATTATTTAAAAATAAATATTTAAGGAAATCTGAGTTCAAAATTAAACGTTTGCTTCAATAAAGGTTTAATCGATATAAAAGAAATATAAAACCTGATTGGGAGAAAAGATGATGAGATGGAAACCACTGAAAGGAATCCAGATTAAGCAATAATTATTACTTTGTGTATCTCAATTTTGTTTGCGAGTGAGGTCGCTTTCTTGCTACTTGTAAGGAGAGAAAACTGCAAAACGAGCACCAAAAATAAGGAAAATTACACTGAAAAATCAGGAAAACTGGCTGCTTGCGAATGTGCAATTCCATATCTATTGTTTCAATTGGCGAGAACTGAATCGTCCCCGCAGCAAGTGAAACAAAGGAAGGGCAGAAATAAGTCACGTCAGTTGCTGGAGTGCACAAACGAGATGGATCGAGAAGAGACACAAAGAGCAGGGAGTTAATTAACGTTGAGAGAGTGTCTACTTACAAGAGCGAGTGCCACTGGGACGGGAGGATGCGAGCGCCGAATGCACGCTGGTTGGAGGACGCCAGCGCGGGCCGCGGCGGCGGCGGCAAAATGTGTGCGTGCAAAAATACTCACCACTGCAGGAGGACACCGGCGGCGAGGGCGGCGAGCGTCGCAGGTCGCCGGGGAAGGCGTTGCTCGCGGGGGCGGCGGAGGGCGCGCCGGTGGACTCCCCAGGGCTGGGGGTGCTCGGCGGCGGCGGCGGCTGCTGCGGGTAGAGGAGGCCGAGCTCGCGCGCCTCGTTCTCCTCCTGCGCCTGCTGCCTGCGGAGGGCCACCTGGGCCGCCATCACGCGCTGCCGTTCCGCAATCAGCGTGCATTTGGCGCAGACACAGTCCCGCCAGCGGCAGTAGCGCTTGTGGCCCTTGAGGGCCGACACGACCCCGTGGTTGCGGCACCGAGCGCACTTGGGCGTGCGTTGGTAGCGCTCGGTGGCCCGCAGGAAAAAGGCGGCCGGCGGCAGGCCGCCCAGCACCGAGTGCTGCGACATCAGGGCCAGCGCGTCGCGGTTCGAGTTCAGGTCCATGGAGGAGGCGGCTGTCGTCGTCGTCGTCGGCAGACTGCTCATCCTCGTCCGGCCCGCGTCGTCGCTGATCGAATGCTGGATGCCCTTGCGGCGGCGGCGGCGGCGACCGAAAGCTGGTGGTGGCCACGAGGCGGCCCCCACCCCCGTCGACGCAACAACCCCAACGCTAGTGTGTATACCTTATTCGACCTGTGGGTCTGCGAACCTATGGCGGCGCGCTGGTTGACACATAGTTTAATTTTGAGCCCGTGGATTGGTTGCAATAGGCGGGGCCTCAGTTTCGATTGGGTTTTCCGCGAGTGTCGGCGGAAGAGCAAGCGGGAGAGAGAGACACACGGAATTATAAGTGAATGTATGTTTCGCTCTCCCCGCGCGAGTGGAGCGAGCTGGCTCTCTTTTCACCACGTGCTTTCCACACTGACATCTCAATTATCCCCGCAAATTGAATTGGTTGCTCGCTATTGCTATTCACCGCCGCCGAGCTTCTATTATATACTGTTCAAAAGTTATACATGCCCATCGATGTGCCTCTCTCCGGCGCTGTACGAGAAAAATCCTTATTTTCCGCCAAAGCACACATCCACGCCGCTTCCTTTCCACAAAGGGTTTCGATAATTGACTTCGGTTTAACCCTTTTTCAATCATTGAGCACTGACGGGCATCGGAGCGAAACAGCGCCTGCACAGCTGCACGCGAGGATGTGCCGTGCACTGATGTCCGGCCGGTTGCATACTTCGACTTTCTGTCTTTCTAGGTTAGAAAATTTTGTCAAAATATAACTGATTTACCTGCAGCTATAAGAAAATGAAGGAAATCTCATGCAATGTGGAAATAATTTTCTCATCGATACATAAAAAATTCTTCACGTTGTGTAAAATTGTGTAAATTGACTAGAGTAGAATAAATAATAAGAAAAAATCATTGGAATTTATCAGCATCCGGACATTCAAGAAATCATTCGTCAAATTTATTCAATTGCATCATGAACACAGCATCTGTATAGAGAGAGATATAATTTGATTGAGAGCAACTTACTCTTTCGTGCCCTCCTGCTCAGTTCTGTTCTTTTCATTGCTCAAGACACAAACACAAAAATGCCGCTGAGAGTGTATTATTATCATTTCTGTTGAGTTGGATATCTCTCTTGCTCGCTCGATATTATAATATTATACTCACAAAAAGCAGCAGGCTTTGCGTTCGCGTTTTTGTTCACTCTCGAGCGCATAAAAGGCTTACAGATGCGTATAATTCAACAGTTATGCAGCGGCACACGGAGGTGGGATATCCATTTTTTTGCGGCGCGCATTCGAACCAAATGTTGGTTGGCTCTCCTTATATCTTCTTCCCTAATGTCTGTTCAAAATTCACTCACATCAGCAAATCGCTCTTCTGGCCACTGATATTTATGCTGATAAAGCGCACATTCAAATATCGTTAACTCCCTTTCCTTTTTCGACCATTAGACTACTTTCTATATTTTTTGCCTGGCACATCTGTCTTCCGCTGACACGCTGACCAAAAAGCGTTTTCCTTTCGCAATGTTTTTTCTATATAAACGAGATGCATGAAAATCAATGTGTTGGGTTCAACCAGATCAATATTTTATTTAATCAGAACTCAAATATTTTGGACTTTTCACAAATCGTATAAAAATAATTTTAAAACCAATATTATGTTAAACTTAAAAAATGATAAATGAGTTTCCAATTTTTAATTTTGACAACAATCTACAGAACATTGTCGAATCATATTATATTTCTTTTTATTCTTTTATGATCCTGACTGCCAAATTGGCCCGTTTTAGACGAAGAAGTCCACACCATAAATTATTAGGATCTTTATATATCCTGAAATTAGATTTTCTTTTATAGAATTTGAAAGATAAATATATCATTGATGATATTATTCTTAGCTTTTTCCTATTTGATATTTGTTGAGCACCAGAGCGACTTGCTGAGATCTAGGCTTTCTAATGATAATTAAAAATGTCATTCCATTGAAAGTTGATGAGTCGTGTCACTTAAAAATTAATTTGGAAGGGTTTTTATCATTTTACAAATTAAAAGACCTACGAGTGAAATAAGCTTAAAGGAATTTTTCCCACTTACATTTCTTATGCCTTTTAATTAATTCACTGGTATTTGAGTGTGAATTTTAATAATAAAAAATAATAATATACTGCACTCTATGATTGAGAATTTCAACGCCAAATTTGAAGCTCAAGCTTTACACATTATTACATTTTAATTAGATTTTGCATTCTGTAGCGTTGAAAGGCAATGCTAATGCAGGTTCGGTGAGAATGGTGCTCACTTTAGCGAATAGGGACCCGACACTCCAGCTGTGCAGCCAATAGTGAATTTGTTGCAAACGCAAGAGTCGGCGCCGCGCATGTTGCAAGTGAAATTGTATCCAATCCTTTCATCCACCAGGGCGGGGTTTGAAACTGTTTCCATCCTCCGAGCGTTGCGAGCGGCCTATCCGATAGGGGCTCTCGTCAGAGACACAAAATCTCTCTCTTCGCGCGGCGCTCGCAGCTACAGTTCCACCGGCAGGCACCGCCGATCAATAATGTTACATAGCAGGCAGATGAAACACATTCATGCAACTGTGCTCCGGCGCCCAGGCCACCCCGAGCCCCCACCCAGCTCACCAGCCCCTGGATGTTTATGCCATCCGAGGCGCGATATCGTATTCCCAATTCCACTTAAGTTTCCTTCTTATATTGATTTAATATTTGCACTGGGGTAATTTTAGCACTGGCCCATACTTCCTCATGCGTTCGAAATATTTATCATTAAAACGTTATTCTATTAGAAAATGGTAACATCTGCGTTTAATACTTCATCTTAATTATTTTGTGAACAGAATCAAAAAGTTCAAAAACATACCTTTTTCATTCAATTTTTTAATGTACACAATTTTGAGTTATTTGAATAACTTCGACGATTTTTCATATTTGCTTATAGAACATTCTTTATTCCTATAGTTAAAAAATTTTAAATTACATAGGTATATCTCTTATTATAATTTATTCTTCTCGTCGATACAAAATCTAATTAAAATTAAACAATGTTTTGGCATTTAGATCTCATCAGTTTTAAATCTGATAGATAGAATAAATATAAAACGAAGCGTCTATAGAAAAAAATAATATTTTCACACCTTGCCGTAACACACCTTTATATCGCCCCCCTCAAGTATTTCTCACAAAAGTGTTATTCATACAATATAATAACTAAATATTATATACTATTTGTAGCACTAAAGCACTTAATGACACACTTCACACACTCCACTTAATCATGTATAGTGAACTGAAATATGAATCGGGCTGTGCCACATTGTAAAAGGAATATAGAGTATCATAAAATATGTTGTAAAGAAGAATACAAAGTATTTTTAAGCAACTCTAAATGATATGTTGTAATGTGAGCTAAAATACCGGGGATTATTTCCTCCCCCCACCACCGAAAGGGATCATTTGAAACATTTTAGAAAATCGGACAAATTTTCTTTGCATTACTTTTATTCAAAGTAATTTTCGAAATTAGATGTGATAATAATTGCTGTTACAAGAAAAATTATTACATTATATCATTGTAAAAACAAATTATAATTAATACAAAATATTTTATAGAATAAATTATTATTTCCAGTACTAATTTTATAGGAAAATTGATTTTCTCCTAAAAAAGAGTAATATAATTGTGAATTTAGTTTAGTGATTGCAGCTTTCAATAATTTTTTCTGTGTCTCAGTGATTTTATTTTTCAATGAGTATTATTCATGCCACAATTACAGCCTTTCAAGTCTATAATATAAAACCGCTCATTGAAAGTGCGGGGCGGTTTCAGTAATAAGTGAAATAATAAAACACACACAAGGGTAGAATCCACCCCCTGGCGACTGACTCTCAGCAGCATGCATTTGATCTGTGAATGCTCGCGTCACATGAATACAATGCGGCAAACTAGAGGAGAGAGAGAGAGAACTCTAGCCTGGCAAGTTATATATCGACCAGTTGAGTTCACAGAGCCGACGACGCGCGTATATTCATCCACTAATATACAATAAATAATGGAGTCTAGCGCACAATGCGATATATATATCACATACGAATTACACATACAATATGCGCTCTCATAGAAAACTAAGCCATCGAACTCGCTTCTCTGTTCCACCCCCGTCAGCCCCCCGCTCTGACTGCTGCTATTGACAGACAAAGAGCCCTATTTGGCCGTCTGCACGTATAATATGTGTTAATATATATTATTGTGTGCGCACGTAAACACAACCACCAGAGAACGTCAGCATGTCTGCTGCGTTTTTCTATTTTTTCATCGCGTCCTGCATTAATTGCAGTCTTTTTCTGCAATTAGAATTTAATCAATGCTTTTCTAATGGGGTTGAGCAAGCCGTCACAGCAGCAAACATTTAGGTCACGGAAAAACGAATCAAATGCCTTGTGCTTCAAGATAATCGCATTGTGAAGCTTTGAGAGTTTCCAATTTGATTTGGTTTCTGAATAAAAAAAGGATTAAAAACTATCGGAACATTTGCAAAAAATGCTTACAATTATTTTTGTATCTTATGATTCTGAAAATTTCCGTTTGAAACCTGTGTTTGAATACATTTCAATTAAATTGAAATTTAAATTAATATGATTGAGAAATGAAAATAAATATCGATTATTTTTTTGTAGAGAAACAATGAATGTGAAATTTGTATGGTATAATACGCTATATGCTATATGCAAGTTTAAGTAATAATTTAATAATTCCCTTAATTGTTTACATCCTATTTTGATTTTCAAAAATAAAAAAAATTAATTTACAATACAGTCACAATTTTCTGCTATTAAAATTATTCAATCCCTCTATTATCTTTATAACAATGAAAATTTATATCTTCTTTATTAAGAGTTGCAATTTTCTGTACAATTTTTGGGATTTGCAAGGCATCCCAAAATAATTCCACTGGCACCGAGTGCAACTCCTTTATAGCTCAAACCAGAATGAAGCGAAATTCTCGGCAGCTTGTACACTGAATGAAAGTTAATAAAGTGAAAGATCGCTCGGCAACGAAACCCGGCTCTCTCCGTTCCCAATTCTCACCCCAGCGATCCACCCTTGTGCGCGCCGAGGGCGAGAGAGAGAGAGTGTGACATTCCAATCACCCTCAAGATATTTTCACCCTTGCCTGCGGATATTTTCAACAGGGTTACAATAAATTGATCCACATACCAAAGAGGATTCAATTTGCATACACTCGGCAGAGACAGTTTATTAAATTTTCTCTTTCGTCGCCTTTTGTGCGGCGGAGAGGAGCGTTTATTGTGCCGAGAGGGCTCGGCGCTCTTCTGCGCTGAAAAGCCACCTCGAGGGAGACGCTTCCTCGCTCTCTCTCTCTCTCTCTCTCTCTCGCATTTCCTGTGCCACACGATTAAATTTTTAATGCCTTGCAAATAAATGCAGTGGTCTTGAGCGAGCGGCATGAATTTCAAAGCATTTTGGAATATTTGCTGGTTTCTCTTGAATTTTTTTCTGGTGTTAAAAAGAACTTATCGAGTGAGTAAAATTTTATATATCGTTTATTTTTACTGTGAGGGTTAATACAAAACGATTTCAAAAAGTTTTCCAAGTGTTTTGAGGAATTAAAATTTAAGTAAAAAGAGAGAAATTATAAACTAATTAATACAACAAAACAGGAACCAACATTAAAATTTTTATTTTTTAACATTTGCAAATTTCTTAAAAAGCGTGATCTTTTCCAAAAACTTCAATCAAATTAAAAAATATTATTAATTCTGGTTTATTACTTTTTCAGTTGACATTTTTAATTTTTATTTTTGTTTGAAGTAAAAAGCAGGTAAAAAGTATAAAATTAAAAATAAAATAGTATTATATGTAAAATTTTATTATTTTAGCAAATCATATCGAAATTTAAATAGTAAATTCTGGCGGATGTCGGCTAAATCGGCACTACAGCGTGAGTGATCTGATATAGGCTCACTTGAAATCGGCGGCGGCGGCGACAGAATAATCGTTGGAGCGGAGCCATTAGTGCGAGGAAGGAAGGGAACGCCAAACTGTTCTTTCGCAGCGAGTGCATACGCGAGAAATAATTTTTGCCCTCTGCCTTTTCTCAAGGTGTTCTCATTTGGAGACATCATTATTGTGATAACGCCTCTTGATCACCGCACGTCGATTTTCGCACAGGCAGCTTTTATTATTTCAATATTTGCCGAGAACGCTGCAGCAGCACCGCAAAAATCAACATACCTGCTGCTTTCTAAAAAATATAAGCACCTTCCCTCGTCCTGTACCCAATCATTATTTCCAACCTTAATGAGAGAGATAAACGTGGTTGCGGCGCTAACAAAGATGCGATCAAGCTCATAAATTTCCAAGAAAATCAGAATTTTAGTGGGAAAAGTGAAAAGTCTAGCTAAAAATATATTTGTTTGAAGAAGTTGACACTCGAGGAGATGATCATGGAAATGAAGATTCGGGCTTTTCCTCGTTGCAAAAAATTGTTTTTTATTCAAAAACAAACGGCTCTACCAGTTTCGGTCACGGTCTGCGACCCTATTTCATGAGCAAGAAAAAATACAAAAAATCAGCAAAATTTAAAACCACATTTTAACATAAAAATAAAAATCTTAAAACTAACAAATTCAAGTACCAACCTATTTCATGAGCAAACGCGCTGCTCGCTGACTAATACAAGAATGAGCTAGCTAAAGACAGATTGATTGGGGGAGGTGATCTTTATTGGGTGATTAGCGCGCGGCGCGGCCGACCACGGGGGCGCCGAATGACGTCGGGCACATTATGCGTTTTCGAGAAAAAGCTGTTTGCTTCCTCTCTCAAAAAGGACATCCACCTTTGATCGAATTGGTGGCTCGGTTGGCTTATTACATTATTACCGCATGCCATTGCCATTGCCATTTACCGCAAGCCCACCTCCACCAACTCAACCCTCCACTTTGAATCAAATCACTCTTTCTCAACTAAGTTCTCTGTTGCTCTCTCAATGTTTAAAAGAGCATACAGTTATTGCTCAGGGGAAATTTCTTTGAAAGAAGAAATTTCCAACATTTACAAAATTCTTCGTCAAAATTGTTACCCCGTAAATTTTATCAACAAAGCACACAATAAAGCAAAAAATCCTCCAACACCCAAAGCCCCCGAACAATTTTCAACCACAATGGTCATTCCTTATTTTAAAGGAAAATCAGAGAAAATCAGGGCCATCAGCCAAGAAGTTGCCAGAGTGCGAGTTGCTTTCTCAAACTCTTCAAATCTGCGAAAATGTTTAATGCATGTAAAACCCAAATGTGAACCTGCTCTGCGTAATTGTGTATACCGCGTGCCATGCGCCGATTGCTCTTCAGTTTACATTGGGGAGACAAAAAGACACGTTTATTTCCGATTTGACGAGCATAAAAGGGCAATTTCAAAAACTTTTGATCCGGCTTCAATTGGGACGGACAGCAATGGTTTTCAAATAGCTCAACACGCGACTGAATTTGGCCACTCTTTTGCATGGTCAGATGCAACGGTTATTAAATTCGAACAAAATCAATCAAAAAGAAAAGTGCTGGAAGCAATGGCAATGGCATGCGGTAATAATGTAATAAGCCAACCGAGCCACCAATTCGATCAAAGGTGGATGTCCTTTTTGAGAGAGGAAGCAAACAGCTTTTTCTCGAAAACGCATAATGTGCCCGACGTCATTCGGCGCCCCCGTGGTCGGCCGCGCCGCGCGCTAATCACCCAATAAAGATCACCTCCCCCAATCAATCTGTCTTTAGCTAGCTCATTCTTGTATTAGTCAGCGAGCAGCGCGTTTGCTCATGAAATAGGTTGGTACTTGAATTTGTTAGTTTTAAGATTTTTATTTTTATGTTAAAATGTGGTTTTAAATTTTGCTGATTTTTTGTATTTTTTCTTGCTCATGAAATAGGGTCGCAGACCGTGACCGAAACTGGTAGAGCCGTTTGTTTTTGAATAAAAAACAATTTTTTGCAACGAGGAAAAGCCCGAATCTTCATTTCCATAAAAATATATTTTTTTTTTTAATTTCATGTTTTTGGTAAAGAAAAATTCACATTTTTATTCGTCATTTAGTTTGTGTTATTAACTTTATGTTTATGATACAAATTTTTAATTATTTATCTTAAATTTATGAAAACAATTTAGCAATTTACTATCATAATTTACAAACCAAAAACGCGAGTCTACAGGTAATCTCTCCCTATTACATTTTTCTTTGCAGCAAAAAGCAAACTTAAAAAATTAGTCTTTCAGAATTGCACAGGCAGGGGTACAGGTGATTTTTCTATCAGCACTTTTCCAGAGCTTTCAACACATTTAGGCAAGGGCTGCGGGCAAGGAGCGATCAAGCAGTAGCGCGTCTCTTGCTGGCACTCCTGTCCTTGGGGGCACTTCAGGGTCGAGCAGTCACGAGCAACTTTGTGGTCGCTACATTGGTTGACAGTAGCAAAGTTTTCTGAAAATGATTTGCTGTTTTATTGGAACGGCTTAAATTTATTTATTTTTATAATTAAACCTATTAGATTTTCATTATTCAAATGGTTTTAGATAAATTTCAAAATATGAGTAAAAAAGGTTCAATTGAAATTTTAATCGTGGTCAACTGATAGGGGCAAAAAAATATAAAATGGGTTTTCATCATTTTCAGGTGATAAAAATTTAAGGTATCCTTTGATTAATTTTGCAACTTGAATCTTTTTCTGCAAGATTTTTTTTATCTGCAAAAACTTTACTTTCAGCTTTTGAGACTCCTCTTTTTATTAAGGTGTTGTTAGCGATTATCAGGGGACTATGAATATTTTTTGAGTAATTTTTTTCTTAAAAATCACATCTAATTACATTACACCCAGGAATTAAATATTTTGTTGCCAACCCTCCGGTGTCGGTATGCAGCAGCAAACGTAGGGAAATTGATTTTTTGTTCTCGCTTATAACTTTGTTTCTTTACATTTTATCCTTTAGAATTGGTTTCTAATCGACTTAAAATAAAAAATCGAGTAAGAATATATCGGTCTTCTATAGTTCAGATCAAGGAAATCGTTAAAAATCTGCAGAAATTATTAATTCACTCACGTCTTTTGAAGTAAATATTGATTTTACTCTCCTTAAGCTGGGCCGGCGGCCGAGACTCGAGAATCGTAAACATGAGTTTGCTCTCGTCGTTCAAGCACGAATTTAATTAAATTTCGGTGAATTTATCAATAAATTACATATTTAAGAGGTCAGTTACTTAGCTGCTCAGGAGTGCCGTCTCCTGGAAGTGCACTCCTGATCAGGTGGCACTTCCAGGAGCGCCAACTCCTCAGGAGCGCCAACTCCCCAGGAGCGCCAACTCCCCAGGAGCGCCAACTCCTCAGGAGCGCCAACTCCTCAGGAGCGCCAACTCCTCAGGAGCGCCAACTCCCTAGGAGCGCCAACTCCCCAGGAGCGCCAACTCCCTAGGAGCGCCAACTCCCTAGGAGCGCCAGCTCCCCAGGAGCGCCAACTCCTCAGGAGCGCCAACTCCCCAGGAGCGCCAACTCCCCAGGAGCGCCAACTCCCTAGGAGCGCCAACTCCCTAGGAGCGCCAGCTCCCCAGGAGCGCCAACTCCCCAGGAGCGCCAACTCCCCAGGAGCGCCAGCTCCTCAGGAGCGCCAACTCCCCAGGAGCGCCAGCTCCTCAGGAGCGCCAACTCCCCAGGAGCGCCAACTCCCCAGGAGCGCCAACTCCTCAGGAGCGCCAACTCCTCAGGAGCGCCAACTCCCTAGGAGCGCCAACTCCCCAGGAGCGCCAACTCCCTAGGAGCGCCAACTCCCTAGGAGCGCCAGCTCCCCAGGAGCGCCAACTCCTCAGGAGCGCCAACTCCCCAGGAGCGCCAACTCCCCAGGAGCGCCAACTCCCCAGGAGCGCCAACTCCCTAGGAGCGCCAACTCCCTAGGAGCGCCAGCTCCCCAGGAGCGCCAACTCCCTAGGAGCGCCAACTCCCCAGGAGCGCCAGCTCCTCAGGAGCGCCAACTCCCCAGGAGCGCCAGCTCCTCAGGAGCGCCAACTCCCCAGGAGCGCCAACTCCCCAGGAGCGCCAGCTCCCCAGGAGCGCCAGCTCCTCAGGAGCGCCAACTCCTCAGGAGTGCCATCTCTCCATTTTTTCCACAATACATAATAATCATTAACTTAACTCGCTTAATTTATGTTCGTTCCGAGTTTCTTAACAGAGAGAATTAAGGTGTTGTTAGCGATTGTCTCGTTGCCAACCTGACAAAAAAAAGCAAAGGTCACCCAAATTTGATAAAATTTGGTATGAGAGAATATTCCCATTATTTTACACAATTAATTTGTGAAATTTTTGAAATTTTCTAATTATCAGCTAACAAATAAATACTTGGAAGTTTTCATAAGCTCACCACAAGCAAACGGATGCGCCAATTTTCATTTTCTCCGCGGATTCTGAAAGCTCAACTTCACAAGTTTTCGACCTCCTTGTTTTTGACTGGCACAATGAAAACTTTAGTAAATATTTGAAAATCCAATATATATTTTCTAGGAAAAGGTTTATCAAAATTATAATAATTTCTAATTTTTACCGTTCATACTTTTTATTTATTTACAAAATTGGCCAAAAAAATTAACCGCGTCGAGATAAAAATATGAAAATCACTGGAGGATCTTGAACAGTACAACAACGTAATTTTTCCATACTGGTTATTTTCCGGAAAATTGGCCATTTTCAAAAGGTGTTCACGTTTTGGTCAATTTCTCAACTTCTATGGGAGCTAAAAACAAAACTTTAAGTGATTCTGAAAGCTGATTAAATTTCACATCTTTGTTTTGTGGACATTAACTTTCCAACACTAGCTGCTTTTCCGGAAAATTGAAGTAAAAAAATAACTTATTTATTCACAGGAAGTATGCAACCCGCAACAAAAAGGCTAAATAGCCAAAATGTAGCTTGGTTCTTTGGAGAGACACCCCTAAAATTTCAAAACTTTTCCTCTAGCCGTTTTTCCGCAATCGCTGATTTTTCCGACCCCTTTTGAGAAAACCAAAACTTTTCCGGAAAGGCATGTGCGATACATCATTCGATTGGACACATCAAGCAGATGCGATAAATAAATTTTTGTGAAAATCGGATCTTTTTTCCAATTTTTAGGGCAATTTTCATTGATTAAAAAATTTTAAAATTCAAACTGCCCTGAAAATTGGAAAATGATCCGATTTTGATAAAAATTTATTTTTAGCATCTGCTTGATGTGCCCAATCGAATGATGTATCGTACATGCATTTCCGGATAAGTTTTTGTTTTCTCAAAAGGGGTCGGAAAAATCAGCGATTGCGGAAAAACGGCTAGAGGAAAAGTTTTGAAATTTTAGGGGTGTCTCTCCAAAGAACCAAGCTACATATTGGCTATTTAGCCTTTCTGTTGCGGGTTGCATACTTCCTGTGAAAAAAATAAGTTATTTTTTTACTTCAATTTTCCGGAAAAGCAGCTTGTGTTGGAAAGTTAATGTTCACACCAGAAAGATAGGAAATTTAATCAGCTTTCAGAATCACTTAAAGTTTTGTTTTTAGCTCCCATAGAAGTTGAGAAATTGACCAAAACGTGAACACCTTTTGAAAATGGCCAATTTTCCGGAAAATGCATCCGAGATCCTTCTGACCTGACTCGGAAAAATCATATCTACTACCAAATCAATTGTCATGTATTTAGCTTCACGCAGTAATGTTTTTTTAGCAAAATCACTGTTTTTCAGCACTTATTCAAAATCTGAAAATTTCGGACCCTGTAAATTAGGCAAATTTGAGAATTTTCCAAAATCCTTTGAATCTGTTAGTTAACATACCTAAGGGAACCCCCATACCAAATTTTATCAAATTTGGGTGACCTTTGCTTTTTTTGTCAGGTTGGCAACGAGACAATCGCTTACAACACCTTAAAGGAAATGTAATAAATGAGGGACAATAAATTCATAAATTTGAATAAGCAAAAGTCGTTGTCTGCCTAGACTTATTCATGCTGATTTTCCTGGTCATCACATTTCTGTATGTCATTTTATAATTAATTTTTCCCTCCAGTTAAACTCTCAAAATTAGCAGGAAGAGTGTCACAACTAGCATTGGCTTGCTAAAAAGCTCAACTTCAAGAGAGACGCTGTCGCCCAAAATGTGTTCATGTTTTTTGAAGTAATTGTTTTTAAATTATGTACCTGGTTTAACGCATTGATTTTCTTCACAGCATCCACTGCAGCAATCAGTCGAGTGGTAGCACTGAAAAAAAAGAAGAATTAAAATGCGCCGTTTAATAATAAAATTTATTTCCATACCAAACTTCTTTCAACGCAATCTCCTCTTGGCAATGTGGAAGATAAAACCGAGTTCACGGCAACCAACAAAATCACAACGAGAGCCACTAGCGTATTTTGGGCCATCCTGAAATAAGAAATAGTTGCATTATAACTTCAAGGAATTAAAAATAGGTTGCAAATGCAAAAACAAATATATGTATATATGCTAAAAAAATAGTTGAGTTATTAGTAACTTTTTGAAAATTGCAAGTTTTTAATTTTCTTTTTAACAAATAATTTCAGCTTCTTTGTAGAATGTTGGTTGCTGGTGAAGAGATGCGGCCATAATGAAAGACGTGTGTAATTATTTTAACATAATTTAATGGCAGATACGCACGAAGCTTACATAGTTGCACGAAAATTACTTTTGTTCGAGAATTTTCCGTGTGCGTGGATAATTTTGAGGCTATAAATAGCGTTGGCTTGACCTGCATGTCTCCGCACATTTAATTAGACCGGCGTCAGCACCACATAATTGCATGACACTCGCACGTCAATAAAATAATGCGCCGCCGCCGCCGCCGCCGAGGATACACGCATATTAAAATTAAGTGTATTTATTATGAACACGCTTGCTTTATTAGCTTTGAATTGAGCGAGGTGAATTTGGCCGTGGGCAATTGCGTGAAATGGGTTCTGCATTCCGAGAATAACTCCAGCTATACTCACTGCCTCTGCCTCACTCAACACTATAATTCGTCTTGAGAAATTCTACACAAAAATATATCACAAAAAATATAAATAAAAAAAAATTTAAAAATAAAAATAAAATGATTCTTTTCTACAAAAATATAAAATATAATTATCTATATTTAATAATTGACGACGCTTTGGCAAAAAATTAATAAAAATTGTAGTTGTTAATGAAGTGCACTGAATCAATTTTCATTGCTAATTGTGAACCTTTAAATGAGTAAAAATACTGCAAAAAATCTACCTATAGTTGGTTTTGTTCAAATACTTCAAATTCTATGCCGGAAGATGCAGAAGTTTGACTAAAACTAATATAAATAAATTATTTAAACACCATTTTACCAACATAGAGATTTGCAAAAATTATACGTAGAAAGGCCTGAAGAAAAATTTGAAACCAAAAAAGGTTATTGTCTTGTGTTCCCTATTGAATTGGAAAAATGCAGGAAGATAAATTAAATTAAATCTATGCATGATTGCATTGGTATTTTTCAAAGTGAAATGGTCGTAGCTTTTCCGTTGTTGATCTTTTTTATTTGAATTAATTAATCAATGATAGCATTAATTTGAACATAAATTTTATTCAAAAATTACGAAGGTGAAATTTGGGTAAAATTGAAAATTTTTTAATATAATTATTATGATGAGCACAGAGGTGCTTAATTGATTTAATTCAATTAAATAATATTTAAAGAAAATAAAACAGGAATATTATTGTGATGAAAAAATGCATAACTTTGGATTTAAAAGATAAAAAAAAAAAATCAAATAAATTGCTAATTATCTTGTACCTTTATGAGGCTGCGGGAGCAGCTTTGTCTGGAGGTTTGAGGCTGAGGGACCCTGAGTAAAGTGAGAGAGGAGATGCCTCGGTCGGTGCTGCTGCTGCTGGAGCCGAGAGCCAGAGTGTGGGAGCCGCTGGTGACTCACTGCCGGCTTTATATAGCGAGATGGGCTCTAAATAAAAGTGGTGGCCGTCGTCCTTGTGATGTAATCCACTCACACGCTGCTTAAAATCTTTTTGCAAGCATTAAAATTCCACGAGTGAGTGCAACTTACATTATATTTTCCCTCCACCAGCGATCGCACGGTGTCTTCGTGCAGAGTGAAAAATGAAAAAGGAAAATTAAAATGAAAAAAATGCCCTCTCGGCGTGCTGCAATTCTTCCTTCCACCCATCTGCCGCTTTTATTTCTCTAGAAAAGAAACGACGACGACGCTTTTTTAATTTTAAGCTCTGGCGCTGCCTCTGTGGAATGCAGTCCGATCTGGATTGAAATGAACAGTACAACTGTATGCGCGCGGCCAGCAATGACTCTCATTGCGAAAATAGAGGTGATCTGATCTCCGCGCGCGCCATCAGCAGGTTTTTTGTTCTTGGCGCTAAACCGCTACGAGAATCGTACGTCTTTCCCTGCATCGATTAAAAGCGTGCGTCGAATAAGGACAAGAAGAACAAATGAGACTTCGAACGTTGAGTTATGTTTTAACCCGATCATCTGTTAAGTTTGCAATATTGCAAAATATAAATTTATCAGATAATTTTGTTCTTCAAAATAAACGTTGAATCGTAAAAATTTCGTAATTCTGTTGCAACCTAAACAAATAAATTTAATATTTTGTAACGGCATTTTTTATTAAAATTTTTCTTTTTGCCTGAATTTTGTTTGCAATTTCCCAAGAATGAGTGTAGAGTTTATCCAAGGTTTAATAATGCACAAGAACAAATCTTCCTAGAATCTTGTTTATTTTAAAATAATTCGGCATTAAGATCCTGGCCCACAGATTGCAAAAATATAAAATAATATATAAATACAGCAATTTTGATTATCAATTGCCGAGTGGAGCGGATTTTCTTTCAGCACTTTAAATTCTCACGATTCTCACAAGCCTAGTTCTTATTTCATTGAATTATCGGTGATCTAATCAAGGAGTGCTAAATTCGTTGGCCCAATAATAAAACTATTCATTTCACCGATTGTGATTAATTAAATTTGAAAAAAAAAAATTCTCCTCATTTGGAACTCTTTTCTGTTGTTTTTATCACAATAATTTAAAAGTTGTATGTGCTCTTTTTTACTAAAATTTCAACTATTCAAGTTACAACTTTTGACACTCACTTTAATTCCGTTTATTGAAAAACCTTGAATGCAATAAACAAATAAAAATTCCAACGTTAAATGACATTCACTCAGTTGAATAATTTATTATTATGTGTTCCTGAAAACGATAATGTTTGATGGAAATGTGATTGATTTATTGGGTAGGTATGGCGATGAATCGTGGCTGTCGCCAGTAATGTGGGTAATCTAATATGTATTAAGGCGCAAATTTTGCTGGCCGCTCCGACGTGAGACAACTCGACAATTTATTTTGTATGTATTATACTTTCTCGTGCATATTGTGGTGCCGATGGAAATACTTTATGCGTGGGAACTCGCGAGGCCTCAGCAGCTCACTGCTGAAAATATATTTTTATTTCCATGCACCAAAGAGGCTGCGATTTTTATTGCTGGCTATTGGCCATCAACCCTATCCTGCTGCTTGATTTTATCTGCAACAGTCGCTCGCCACTTGCCAAAACGCATTTCGAAAGCTTGAAGCGCTCATTGATTTATGAACTCCCACTCGGAAGACGAGCACCTAAAAAATTTAAAAAAAAAAGATTGCTTCGTGATTTTTTTTATTAAGAAATCGGATATGTGAAAATGGGCACTGAATGCACTGTTTATTGAATTGTTTTTATATTTGGTATTTATTTAAGATGCGTGCGAACCGGTATGTGTGGGTTCGAGTGTGGCTTGAAATGTGCGATTTGCAATTCTGGTCACGCGCTTCTTGTCCCGCGAGATCCTCTCACCGCTTTAATTCTACTGCAGTGCACGGGCGACCTTGTGAATTATTTTGTGCAATTCCCAATAAAATGGTAAGCGGATCGATGATAGAACGAGATAGTGCCTTAGATTCCCATAGGAAAGTTACACTTTGAGAACAAAAGGCAAGATGCTTTCACGTCCACTGCACACACTCAACAATATTGGGCACGCTGACCAGGAAAAGCTATACAAAAATAACTTAATTTGGCAAATGCACAAGGAATAAATTGCTGAAATTCAATAAATTACATAATATAACATTTTTTTAATAATTTGTCGGTGGGAAGGAATTGAAATAGCAATTTTTAATTAAAATAATTACTCATCCATGGCGAATTGGCGTATGTGCCATGAATTGTGCCATAGGTCGCGTTTATTTTACAGCTCAAATGCTTTTAGGCGACTCTCAAATTGAAACCAGATATTTCCTGAAATATCGCGCCAGAGTGAACTGCTGAGTAGGAAGGCAATTTCCTGCCCATTGATGAGCCATTCAATTTCAGTGGCATTAGCGCGCGCCTCGAGCTGAGCGATTTCCAGAAATCCTGGCTGACTCGCCGGCCAGCGCCACCGATTCCCTGTGCTGAAGGGTGGCTGATGGACGGACACTACGTCACAGCGTCCACAATGCCACTGTATATAATGGGTAGACCGGGCAGCAGAGCATTCATTCAGTTCTGAAATTTCCATCGAAAAACAAATCCACCTCTGCTGCAGTCATGGCCAAGAAACTTCTCTTCCTTGCTTCAATTTTGGTATGTTTATTTTATTAAATTCAGTCAATGTTTAATATTTTGATTTCTGATCTGGAAACATAAGTTGCACTTGATTTCTATGCTGATTTGCCAAATTTTAATTTTAAAGTTTATTTTTTTATTTAATTATTAGTTTCTGTAAATAATTTGATATAATTAATTTGGATGAAGGATAATTTTACATATTTTATCTTTTAAAATTTATGCGTTTTGCGTGTTCAAATTTCCTTGCTTTTTCCGCAACTAATTTTTGTACTTTATTATGTAAACAGATTGCCTGCGGAGCTGCCCTGAGCGCTTCCATCCCCCTGATCACTGGCACCAATGACTCCACCCCAGTCCTCACCCTGCCCTCTTCCTTCGACCTGACTATCACTCAGGTTCCGAAGGAAGATGACCTCCCCTCCGACGACCCAAGCGTTTACAAATCTGTCATCGAAGACCTGGAGGACGCCGACCTCGACCTCTCTGGAATGATCAACGACGAACCAGCAAAAGGTAATTATTTTCCATCATCATTTTATTTCAGTTTTTTTTCTATGTTATATCACTTTTTCTAGAAAGTTTATCTAACTTACTATTTCAAATTTCAATAACTTTTTTGTTTTTAATTTTGAAATAACTTGCATTTTAATCATTTTTAATAATCACGTAAACTACAGATCATTGTTAAATTAATTTTTTTTAATTTCAATTAAATAAATTACTTTCATTTTTTTTTATCTTTTTGCAATAATATTAAAGTTTTTGTAGACTATTTTTCTAAAATTCGTGTATTTTTTTTTAAAGATTATCAATGTTTGTTTTCTAATTTTATTTCAGAACCTGAAGCTGCTGATTCCTCGTCCTCGTCTGAAGAAAGCAAAGAGACCACCACAGTCGCTTCCGTCGCGCCGCTGCTGGTTCGTCAGGAGCGATCTCCCCAATGGCATGGAGGTCATCACGGCGGCCACCACGGCGGCCACCACGGAGGCCACCATGGACATCACGGCGGCCACCATGGACATCACGGCGGCCACAGACACCGTCGCGAAGCCATGCCTGAGCCTCAGCACTGGGGAGGTCACGGAGGACACCACGGCGGTCACCACGGCGGTCATCACGGTGGACACCATGGCGGACACCACGGAGGTCATCATGGCGGTCACTGGGGACACCATGGTTAATCCATTTTCAAGAGACTGTATGGAAGGGGGGTCCACTTACTTGAAATATTTTTGCCCCAAAATTCTTTTGTGTAAAAGTTACAATACAATAAAACTTATGTCTGTAAAATTTTAATAATGCTTGCCTTAATTAACACACCTCTCATGCCTCTACATTGCTGAGATTTTTTTACCGTTAATTTTCTTATTAATAAAATTATTTTGGCTTTTAAGAATTGCAAATTTCTTGAATTGAAATAAATTATATAAAAATATTTACAAAAACAGCCATAAATTTTAATGAAGCACTTTTATATATATTTTGTTTTAATTTTTGTTTTCAATTTATTAGATTTGCCAAGATTTACGTACGTAATCAGCAAATTAAATCAATTTTGTCAGTTACACTTTTGACATCCACAGGGTGAGAACGCCATTATTATTTTTTTCCCGGAATATATAATTTTGTTATAATTAAATACAATTGTAAATACTTTACATTTTTGAGATTTAATAAAAAAATACAATACTATATTTTTATTGAGCTTTTCTTATCTGTCTGTAAGCTCTGGATATACTCCATGTTATCATATTTTTTTAAATGTCGCACGCTGAAAGGTTTTACATGGTAAACCAGATACTCCATCATGTACATTTTGAATTTATCCAAGTAATGAAAAGAGACAACCTCATCAGAGCAATTGTCGACCTCCTATTAAATATTTGAAATCAGGAGCGAACTTCAAATTAACAATTATGATCGCACCTCTTCAGTCGGCCACCAAATATAATCCCAATACCACCAGCCCCTTGCACTTGTGTCAACGTGAGTGTGTTGTTGGGGGTCAAATGGGAAGAAACGATTTCTCCCGAGGGCATCTCTGGAGTCTCCTGGTATAACTCCCAAAGAGTTAAGTTCGTTTTTTTTAACGAAGTAAATCATTAAAAATATTTATTAAATTTTTAACTTCATTTTAGATAAAAACCCATATTGACGTCTTCGGCATTGGTGTCGGTACTTAATCTGCAGTCTTTTATCTTCCCATCAAACCCTTCAGTAACAACTCGTCTAACCGCCTCTTTACTGAGCACATAACCTGGAGTAATTTTTTTTTTACATACTTAATTCAAATTTGTAAATGCTTGACCTCCTCCTCCACTCATGTAGCCTACAGGCGTATGCGTTTTAAATCTAAACCCAAAGTAATGTGGATCCTTTGGTGGATACGGCAAAAGCATTTTGCGCAAATTTTCTACAACTACGTAACTATTTAAATAAGAATTAAAGTGAAAGAGAAAATCTTGGATGAAAATATATTACGTGTCATCATCAGCCTTCATCACCCAGTCATATTCGTCGCTGCAATTTTCGTGGACATATTTAAAAGCGGCGACAGTTTTGCTCCACAGTCCCTCTCTTCCCGTCTTAACTCCTGGTAATGCCAATGCCGGGAGGCTTTTATCTGATCCATCGATTTTGACTAAATGATTAACTTAATTGAATGCTTGCCTTCCTTGTTGCTTATAAAAATGAGCTTGTTGCAATGCCGTCCCCAAGTGGCTTTTACGTGGACAGCCTTTTCTTCGTGGTTTTCAGGGGCGGTCATCACCCAGCAAAGAACGCGCACTTTTTCGGCCAGTTTTCTCGCCTCCATTTCTTCCACCCCTAAAGAAAACCGTAAGCTAGGTCAAATAATTTATCTTCAATCTCACTGAGCAAAAGTTCTTTGGCCAATGAAGAATTCAGTTCTTTGTCGTGTTGCATCTCGACCAAAGTTTTATCAGTTACGGTTTTAACAGTGTTGTTCGGAACCAGGCTTATTTTAGAACTCTCTTCCATACAAAAATTCAATGACGTGAGGGAGCAAATTGCAAATCCTACGACTAGTCCAAATGCAAATACACACACATTTGTTGGCGTCAAACGCCGTTGCTTAAATGCAGAATCTGTAAATTCAGAATTTTAGCTAACAAAAGTTAAAGTAAATTGATGTGCAACTTACCGATTTGCATTTGAATGTTCCTTAAGTAAAATTACCAAACAAAAAATAACGTGGCTTTGATTGAACAAAGCAGACGATACTGATTTCTAACAACGCTACTTCTTTGTGTTTATACATTTAACAATGTGCAAACAGATAAGAGGAATTCTTGTTTGCACTGTTCGCACAATCGTGCAGGCTTATTTGAATGCATTGCTATGACCTCATTCACTTGAGAATTCTATTTTAAAGCATATTACATTAAAAACGAGTTTTATGATAAATGCTGCAAATTTAACTTTAAAGCTGGGATAAACAAATCTGATTTCTCATAATTGCAACACAGAGGGCCTCACTTGGCTCCCCCGTTTTGAGTCAATATCAAGCTATCCCGTTATCCACGTTATTTTAAAAAAGCAGATTTAAAAAAAAAATCTCTATATATGAATTCTAATATTGATCGACAATAAAAATAAACAGTCTGGGATCGATTCTAAATGCAACGGTAGCGCTGCTATCACTGAATGTTATACAGAGTGCAGAGCAAGCATGATGAGCGGGAAGCATAAATTCAACACTTGTTTTTAACCGTAGCTTCTGTTCATTTGTATGTAAAAAGATAAAAGATAATAAACCGAAATTATCTGGATAGTGTTACTTGTTGCCACTTTTGAAAACCTTTACCATTGAGGGAACTTTTTTGGGCCTCAAAGATAGCAAATAAAATTAGTATAATTTATTTACACTTCGTATTTTCACTAGAACATTTATTTTAACGAATATTTGTTATTTTCAATAGTGTAATGTATATTCCATTCATCTATTTTATTAATTGAGTATTTTTAAGCATGTTATAAATTAACAATTATTGTATTATTTTTCACCCCTTTCTAAAAATAAATCATGCAAAAATTTATATGATTTTCTTGTCATAACTTTTTTGAGTGTTATCAAATTCAATATAAAAAATAAATTTATTATAAATTTTAATTGATTACATAGTTTTATTTTTTTTGTTTGCCTACAAGAAAATCATGCAGCGTACAACATTATTTACTAATTATAATAATGCGAATTTTGAATAATGTTCTGCTGCAGTTCTGACAGCCGATATTAAATGTGCATTTATAAATTTATTTTATCTTGTACCAATGTCAAGCACTAACCACCTTAAGTTTGTTTGAGTAGTTAAAATGAGGCGCATAAGTCTGCACCTATAGCTACCCGAATTGATAAGGGTGACTCGTATGTAGTGAATATATAAAAGCTTTTCCTCTGCCCTATCTTCATTTCGAGTTTATTTGCCATTGAGGAGTCGAGGCACCGATCGTTTAGTTTCCGCGATGGCCAGATGGAGCATTCTGCTGTTAATTATTTGCGTAAGCTTTGTGTTTTTATAAGAAAAAAAAAACTTTTTATTCCTGCCATTATAAAGACAGACTTGTAAATTATTTTTACGTTAGAGATGAGAAATCCGGAGTGCTCTACATGACTAAAAATTTTCATATTTTATTCAGACTTTGATTCTCGGTTATGAAGGCGCCCCTGCACCTTTTGACCCACACGAAGACAGTTTAAGTCTAGAGTCAACAGTGGGTAAACAACTGAAAAAGCTATTTCAAGATGACGCAGTGTACGGACCTGTAGCAGGTAATACTAAACTTACAAATTAAAAGAAAATTTTTATGTTCACACCATCAACATTACGTGGTAAACGTAATTGATCTAATTTTTACTTTTGAAAAGGTGCCAATGAAGAGGAGCCAGTTGTAATTGTGAGACGAGAGAGAAGAAGCTTCTGGAAAAAAGTAGGAAAGGCGTTGAAAAAAGCCGGTGATGCAGTGAAAAAAGCAGCAGATGATGTTTGGAAGGGAATTAAAAAAATTCCTCCTATAATTTGCCGTGTTCCTAATATTTGTTCCATATGAGTCAACGTCCAGCGTTATAATATTAATAAAATAAAATAAGTTCTTTTCCAAATGTCATTTCACAATTTGTGTGTTTAATTCAATTTACATTTAGCTTTATTTCTCCACAAATCTAAAGTTGCTTTCATGGGCTCAGCTTAGAATATTATGCTCATTCTGCTAAATTTTTCGCAATTTGTATAAACAATCCTGAAACAATCAGAAGGCAAAAAAAAATTTATTACTAATTAATGCCACTTGATTTTACATTCATTTTCTATTATTTAAATTTCAAACCTTATCTCTTTGTTGATTTAAGCCGTTTATTTCCTGGAGCTGTTGCGTCGGTGTAAATTTTGTAACTCAACAATTATTAGATTACCATTAAATTTATTATATTGCCGTGGAACATGCACTGTTTGTTTGCTAAGCCCATCTCTCATGTAAAATTATAACGAGACGCATTTGAATCGTCGTGTACAAGAATTGATAAGGCTCTGAACTTGATACTTAAAGAGCGTTTCCAACTGCATTCAACTCTATCGAATAAAAGTTTGGCTGCGCAGGTACTGCTCAAGCAATATCCAGAAAAATTTACCAATTCTATGATGGCCCGATGGAGCATTTTTCTGTTGTTGATTTGTGTAAGTGTCTCATGTTTCATAATTATTATTCAAAAATTATTTTGAGGGTAGAATTGGGTACTCAAGAAAACAAAAGCAAAAAAAGTGGTCATCTTTGTTGAAAATTGATTTTTTTTTTCCCTAAAAAACCAAGCTATACCAGTTTTAGTCTCGTGATTTGAATTTTGAAAGATCACGTCATATTTATGGACTGAAACCTTCCTTCCAAAAATTAAAAATAAAAGAATAAGATTTTGATAGAAATGTATGTTACAATCGAAATAATTTGAAGAGCATTGTTTTGAATAAAGTTATCAATTTCTAAATCTTCCATAGAGTACAAGCCATTTTTACATTTTTCCGGCATGCTTCTTCAAAGATTTGAATCGTTACCCAAAAATTTTTGACACAATTAAGACTTTTATCATAATCATAACTTTAGAATTTAAATTTGAAAAAAAATACACCATTTACAATAATAAACTAGGCTTATTTATTATGCCATATATTATTTTTATAATTATCACGGTCACGATAATTTTATTAATAATGTACTTCTTGTTGCAGGTTTTAATATTCGGTAATGAGAGCGCTCCAGCTCATGTTGACCCCGTCTCAACAGATTTGTTTTTAAATTCAGCAACTGTTGAAAAGGACAAATCTGAGATTCTGGAAGGACAGTCTGAATTTGCACAGTTCCAATATATCGGTAAAGAAAATAAATAATAAGCTTTTATTTGAACTTTAAATTTGATTAAATAATAACTAATTTTAATGGCTATTTTTATGCAAAGGTGCCGAACAAGACAATGTGAATGGAGTCGAAGCTCTTAATCGAAAAAAGAGAGGCATAGGGAAAAAAATTAAGAAAGCACTAAAAAAAGTTAAACAACAAGTTAAAAAAGTTGCTGACAAAATTTGTCGCCTTCCTATATGTAGCGTACAAGTTACAAAGCGATTTCGTTGAATAATGTAATGTCATATGTCATAATACTTATTAAAGTAAATTTTACTATGGTCATATCGGGTCATATATAGTTGCACAATTCTTGTTTTTATCAAGGAGGAAAAAGAATATTAAATATATTTGTTTTTATTTTTATTTAATAAAATTTAAAAAAAAAATCAAGCATTGAAGTTTGCATGCACAATTTCACACGTAAAATAATTTGAACGATTTTCATGTAATTTTTACTGTAGTGGTGTTGGTAGTTGCATTTGCCACGACCGTCAAATTTGCAGCCTTGGTGGTTGCACCGGCGGTAGAAGGGATGGAAGCATTTTTAACAGTCGACGTTGATGCAATCGCTGCCGACGCTGCCACTGTTGTTGCATTAGTTTTTGCAGTGGTGGAAGGGCTGGTGGTGGATGTTGCGTTGGCACTGATCGGTGTGTTTAAATTTGCTGTAGAATTTGTGGAGTTCAGCTTTGCGGCGGTCACGCTTTTAGCAGAAGTGCTACTCAAAGACGCGTTTGAGCTTTTGGTTGTGGTGCTCGAGGCCGTCGTGGTCCCTTCGGTTGGTGCCGCGGTTGTTAGGTCGTCTGCAATCGGCAGCTTGATTTTCGTGTGTCTGATCACGCTGTACGGACGAACATGGTAAATCAAGTACTCCAGCATGTACAAGTATGTCGGCTTGACCAAGTGGAAGGAAATAGGCTCGGAAGAACAGCAGTTCAAACCCTATAAAGGACAGAGATGAGAAAGTATGAATTAATTAAAATTTTTATTTAATTTAAATTAAGAAAAATCTGATATATACAGGTGATATTAATAAAATGGTCAAAATCCAGCCGAAATCAAAATAATAAGTTTTCATAAAAGGTAAAAAAAATATCAACAACCCATAATAGACACAGGTTCCTGTCAGGGGTTGATTATTATAATTGGTGTAAGGCTGAAAGAATAATTTTCACGCCAATGCTGGTAATAAAAGAACTAAAAAAAATTGTTTACATTAAATTTTAACTTATTTTAATGTATTTATTCAGTGCAAAAGAATGATATATTTTAATTAAATAAAAATAGTATGAATAATAAAAACATCAGCTGCAAAGGCATAATTATAACGAATTTTTACATCTCCACAACATTCATATTTTTATCTTCACAACAAATTGAGATTGGCTAATATAAATGAGTTAAAGTTTAAAATAAAGCAATTTGTCAACTATGAAAAATTTCTTACCGCATTCATAGGCCAATACACATAATCATCCTTCCACCATTCCCCCTTGAGGCTTTCCAGGTCTCTCAAACTATTATCGCGATCAAAAGGCAGGCACCGCCTTCTGTTTAACTCGTCCACTGGGGTTTCTTCCTTAAAACCAAGCGCCTTGAAACAGTCACCTTGAAATTAAAAATTATAATGATTTTCTGAATCAGTTATTTTTAAGTACCTATTCTTGCAATTTTATTGTTGACGCCCTTGCATTCTGGCTTGTCTCCATTATACCCGTTTATTACCAGCTTCTTTATCGCTTCTTTGCTCAAAACGTAAGCTTAAAAATTTAGTCAATCAAAAGAAAATGTAAATTTCATAAATTTTATTGATTATGAACCTGCATTATTTGATCCAGTGATTGTCTTGTTAATTTCGTAATTGAGTTCAAAGTAAATAGGATCATTGTAGGAATAGCTGGACAGCATGGTTCTCAAATTTTCAACCACAACATACCTTCAAAATAAAAGTCAGTGAATGCATGTGGCTATTAATTATTAATTTTTTACGTGGCATGGTCAGCTTTGACGACCCATTCAAAATCTTTAATTCTTTGCTTGAGCAAAAAATCAAACGAGCTCTCCATTTTTGCCCATTCTAATTCTCTATTCGGTGGAATGTCAACATCGGTTGTGGGCAACGTAGGGTCTGAGTTAAAAAAAAATCAATTTTATTTTTTTAATGTTATTGAAAATATTTTGAATTTCACCCCGCTTTGAACTGATAAAGTGGATGTTGTTGCAGTGCCTACCCCACGTGTCCCTCACGTGGGCCGCCCTGTCATTGTGGTTGTGAGGCATGGTGTGGACGAGACAAATGATGCGGATTTCTTGAGCGAGGCGCCGCGCCGCAACCTCTTCCGATCCTTCCATCAAAAGGTATGAAGATTTTTTTTGTCAATTTATAAGATTATGATATTACCTTTTAAAAGTTCGTGAACAAACGTTGAATTTAGGTCAAGCTTCATTTCGAACGCCTCTTGAACAGTTTTAGAGACATTCACGCCATTTCCCAAAAATCTGCCATGTATTAATTAAAAATTGCTTAAAATATATATATTTTTATTAAATTATTTTTTTACGTTTCTTCTTGAATGAAAGAACTCTTGCCGAAGACTCCAGATCTCGACAGTTCTTCCTTGTCAAAAGTTGAGTACGGGGCGAGAATCAACGTCGCCAAAGTAAACCCAAAAGAGAGCCCAAGTGAAAATGTGAACACAATTCTTGGCAGACTGGCCCTTTTTGGATGCGATTTTCGTTCATTACTTGTGCTGGGCAGAATTAAATTCCGCGTCTCTTCGTGCATTGCTATACTGAGTGAAGCAAAAGGCCAAACAAATGCAGGGAAAATGTTGTAAAAAGACTCGTCACATCCTGGAAATGTGTTCTCTGCTCAGCTGGCACATCACGCATGCCCCACTTTCCCAGCATCACAATTAAAAGAGAAGCATCCTCTGTTTTTTTTATTTTATTTATCGCAAAATAGGAACAAAACTAATGTAGAAAATTCAAATAAAAAAAATGATAAAACTGCACGTAATAATGATTAATTTAACATTAAATTTATTTGCCAGCTACAGCGGGCGTAGTTTGGTTGAGATTCGCTGATGCTGGCGTAGGAGCAGGTGTGTTCATTTCCAAATGATTTACCACGAAAGGCCGAACAGTGAACGCCAGATATTCAATTGCGTACATCACGGCAGGCTTGATGTAGTGGAAAGAAACGGGGGTGTCTGCACAGCCCTCCATGCCCTATCAATTTTTTTTTATTATTTAAATACATTTTTTATTTTAATTATTTACAATAAAAGCCGGCCAGAAAGTATAAGTCCAGAACCACTTGTATTTTGTCGGTTGGACGAAGGCGTGAGTCGCCACGTCCATGGGGAAGAATCTGTTTCGTCCCTCCCAATCTCTAGAATCGCCAGCAACTGCGTTCACCGCCGCCAAACAAATACCTTCAATTTTAACATTTTCAAATTTTATAATAAAATTTGTAACTTTGAATTTCACCCATTTTTATATCGTCTGGATGTTTATTATCATTCCACTGAGGGCATTTCTTGTCTTTGCCGTCAAAAGCATTATTAACCAACCTCATGACAACTTCTTTACTCATAACCAGACCTATTTTTTTTCCATTTCAGTTAATGAAGCAGATAGGTCGAAAGTTTTACCAGCATTTTCGCTCATATAACCCTGAGGTAGAATTGGGTTCATTCTGAATCCAAAGAAAATTGGTTCGTCGGGCGTGTATGGCAACAGCATTTCTTGCAAGTTTTCAACAAAAACATAGCTAAAAATATTTCCTTAAGATTTTTTTTTCAATATTTGATGAATTTTCACTTTTTATCGTTTGTTTTTATAATCCAATCAAACTCTTCTCGGTACTTTCGCCACACATATTTCAAAGCTCCGTTTGTTTTTGCCCAGGAGCCTTCTCTGTGCCACTCTTTGCCAACGTCAGCGCTGGGCAACGATTCATCTTTACTTAATAAATTTAATTTAAGTTATTTAAGATTTGACATAAAAGAATACCATTTCCATCACTAATAAAAATAAGTTTGTTGCAATGACGACCCCAAGTTAATTTCACATGATGAGCAGCTTTTCTCGTCGAATTCGTCATGACCAGACAGAGAATTTTCACCTCGGCGCTGATCATTCTGGCCAAAACCTCCTCAGCTCCTTAAAATTTTGTTTAGTTGCGCAAGTAAAATTTTTACATATAATAAAAATCATACTTTTTAAAAGTGTCCCTGGGAGGTTTGAAGAAGGTTGAATTTGATTTTCGGATATCATTTGAAGACTTTTTTGTAATTCGTAACTGTCATCTCTAGACAGGAAACAAGCTTGAAAATTAAATTAAATGCGACTTTCGCCATACTCATCAGTATTTTGTGACAAAAGCAGTTCATCACTTATAAATGGGTTGATCTGAAATAAAGTGGTGATGAGCCCGATTGCTACGCCTACGACAATGCCAAGGGTGAAAAGGTACTGGAAGCCAGTCTCGTGCCGTGTCCGTCGCTCCATGGTGAAAATTGTGCCGTGTGGCTAACGACGCGTGCCGCTATGTGATCATTTACAACGTCACACAGCACACAACACAGCCATAGACTGCGGTTCACATCACACATCACCTCAACCCATTTAATTCTCATTTTAAATTTTATTCGACTCTATCGTTATTTCTTTCAATATTAATTTTTATTTTTAATCAAGTTTATAATAATCAACGATAATTACTTTTAAAACGACTTGTTCCTTTTCATATTGCTTTATTTCAAACTTATCATAGAGTACAACTTTTAACCTTGCTTAAGAGTTCACAACGATTTTCGCTTGACAAGATATTTAAAGTCTTTGGTCTCACATTATTTTTTGAATATTTATTTACGTATATTTATTGCAATCACTCGGAACAAACACGCCATGCATCTCTTTCCTTAAAGAACATTTTAACACGTTCAATTAAAAAAATTAAACATAGTAAAAAAAAACTACTTAGTTTCTTACGTTTTTAATGTAGTAAAAAATTATAAAAACTAAATTAAATATCATAGCTGTAAACTGCAGCAAAAAAGTAGATTTCCATTGTATTCATTTGACAGGTGGCCAAATTTTCAGTGCTCATTTTCAAATTTCGCCAAATGCATCACTCCGAATGGCTTGACGTGATAAGACAAGTATTCCAACATGTACAATGTAGCTTTAGGAATATAGTGAAATGACACTGGCTCAGTGGAACAACAGTTGAGTCCCTGTTTGGAAATTTAAATAATGGAAATTTACAATAAATGAGCAAAAATATTACCCCAACGACTGGCCAATAAAGGTATTCCCAGTACCACCAATCTTTCTTTCCTTGATCTGGATTTGCGTGATTTTCCACATCAAACGGAAAAAATCGATTTCGGCCTTGAGCGTCTCGAGAATCACCAGGCTTAGCTCCAATAACGTGGAGACATTCAGCTAAAATTATATAATTTTGTAAAATATTCATTAGGATATAATTAATTTTTTTGTTACCAATATTAACGTCCTCGCTATTTTCATTTTTGCTGTCAGCGCAGCCCTTCTTATTCTTGTCAAATGCATTATTTACCAGTCGCGCTACAGCTTCCATGCTCAAAACATACCCTGTATTAATTTACGAATTTGCCAAATGAAAAAATAAATAAATAAAACAAACCTGCCCCTCCGCTCATGTAGCCAAGCGGTGCGTGAGGTTTGAAGCGATACCCAAAGTAAATAAGTTCTTTTGGGGAGTGTCGTAAGAGCATCGCCCGCAAGTTTTCCACCATCACATACCTACTCTTTTTGTCATTATTTTTATTTTCACTGAATTAATTCAAATTTTCACGTGTCATCGTCAGCCTTCATGACCCAGTCGTAGTCGTTTTTATATTTCCCGTAGATGTACTTGAAGGAACCTGCGGTTTTCGCCCACAATCCAGCGCGATCATTCTTCACGTCAAGTTTTATTGAGGGTAGACTAAGATCTGGCCATTGCGAAAAAATAATTTACAGTAATTTAAATTAATTACGATGTACCTTCTACGTCGCTCATGAAAATAAGCTTGTTGCAATGCCGGCCCCAAGTAGTTTTGACGTGAAATGCCTTTTCTTTGTGGTTTCCCTCGGTCGTCATCACCCAACACAAAATTCGCACTTCGTTCGCCAATTTTTTTGCATTAATTGCATCCACACCTACAGATCATCAAATGTATTCGTTATTTTTTAGTTTTTTGCACTGTACCCGAGTATCCTGCTCTTTTGTTTGCGTTGCTTAAAATCATTCTGGTTTCTTCGGTTGGCTGGGCTTCGAACTGCTCCTGCTTTACTCTTGTGCGTCTGATTACACTGTACGGACGCACGTGGTAAATTAGATACTCGAGCATGTACATGAACGTCGGTTTGCCCAAGTGGAAGGAAACCGGCTCCGAAGAACAACAGTTCAAGCCCTTGATTAACAAGCAATTAATTTCAATAGATTATTATACGAATAATTAAAAATCAATTAAATATTCAATTTAATATGAATATCATTTTGTACTAAATAACCAACATACATTAAAACAGTTTCTCTTGTTCGTAAATAAATCGTAAGGAAATAAAAAAAATTTCTTACAGCATGCATGGGCCAAAAAACATAATCATCATTCCACCATTCACACTTTTGGTTTTGCATATCTGACAAATTATTTTGGTGAGTGATGGGCAGGCACCTCCTTCTCTTATAAACATCCAACGTACTCTCTTCCTTAAAAGCAAGTGCCTTAAAGCAATTGCCTATAGAAATTTCAAATTAATTAAGTGATGAATTATTATTTTAATTTTGCCTATTTTTGCTGTTTTGTTCTTGGCGCCATTGCACTCGGTTATATTTTCTTCGTTGAACCCATTCGTCACAAGTTGCCGAACTGCCTCTTTACTCAAAACATAAGCTTAAAATTTTCAATGTATTTCAAAATAAGTTATTGTTTTTAAATTATTTGGAACCTGCAGAGTTTAATCCGCTGGTTTGGTTCAATTCATAATTTAGCTCAAAGTAAATTGGAACATTGCAGGAATGGCTGGCCACCATTTTTCGCAAATTCTCAACAACAATATACCTTTAAAATGAACAAATTCTTATGACGAATTATTGACAGAACTAAATTTTGCACGTGTCTTGGTCAGTTTTAACGACCCAATCAAAAGCATCAATCCTGTTCTTCAGCAAAAATTTAAATGATCCTTCCATTTTCGCCCACTCCAGATCTCGGTTTGGAGGAATTTCAACATTGGTCGTTGGCAGCAAAGAGTCTTAAATTTAATTATCCCATTGCAAAGTCATATTAATTTTTGGCCTAACCGTTCTGTGTACTGATAAAGTGGATGTTGTTGCAGTGCCTGCCCCAAGTGTCTCGCACGTGGATCGTGTCGTTGTGTTTTTTAGGCGTGGTGATTAAGACGAGACAAACGATGCGGATTTCATGAGCAAGGCGTCGCGCCGCAACTTCCTCAGAGCCTTTTCCATCAGAAGGTAAGACCATTTATTAATTAGAGTTATTTTTAATACGCTAGATATTACCTTTCAAAAGCTCGTGTACAAACGTTGAATTTAAGTCAATTTTCAATTCAAATACCTTGTTAATTTTTTTAGAGATATTTAAACCATTTTTCGCAAAAGACCTGCAAATATAAGTCACAATTTTTATTTCATACAAAGTGACGAATCAAATTATTCTTACGTATCCTCTTCAATATACAAACTATTGCTGACGATGTCAGATCTCACCAGTTTTGCTTTTTCGAAAGCCGAATACCGAGTGAGTGTTAGCGTCGCCAAAGTGAACCCAATCGACAGCCCGAGCGTAAACGTGAACACGATTTTTGGCGGGCAAGTCCCTTTTAAAGGCGATTTTCGATCATTATTAGAGATGGTGACCGGCAAGATTAAATTCCGTTTTTCTTCAAACATAATTGACCAACTACATAAAATTAGAAGCAAATGAAAGTGAGATCAATGTTGCAACCGCCGCCAGTGAGTGGATTGTGATGGTCTCGCGTCACATCCTGAAAAATCATTCCCTGCTCAGCTGGCATACGTCCCACTTTTCATCACCAACTCACAATCAAAAAGCGTTTTTGGAATGTATATTTATTGAAACTTTCACTCTTTACTTTCTTATTAAGAGAATTTTTTCTAAAATTGAAATATTAATTTAAGCCGTCTTCATTTCTTGAAAAAAAGGATATTAAATAATTTAGTCAACTGGTGCATAATTTAAAAGTGTCTGCAACTACAGTCTTGCTTTCCCCTCAACATCCGTTCCCAGATTTAACCTATAATTTTAAAGAACACGCGACAAAAAAATATAACATTCATAACAATGGGCTTTTTTAGTTGGAAATCGTAAAAGTTGTGTACTAAATTTTTGAAAATTGGATAGAAATTTGTGAAATCAAATCGCACTATTTTCTGATTTTATACTAAATTTTTATACAATTAGTTATTGCATTCAAAATTAAAATAAATAATGTTCAAGCATTCAATCATACTTTTTGTTTATTTCCAAATTGTCAGCAGTATTTAGGATTTTCATATTTGAGGTACTTCATATTGTGTCAAATGCATCACACCAAACGGCTTGACGTGATAAATCAAATACTCCAACATGTACATTTTAGTGCTGGTCAAATAATGAAAAGATACTGGTTGATCAGAGCAACAGTTAAGTCCCTATAAAAAATATAATCGTTGAACAATTTTTAGAATTTACTTTTTAATTTACCCCTTCAACTGGCCAATAAACATATTCCCAGTACCACCAGTCTCGGTTTCCTTGAAACGGATTTACGTGATCTTCTACCGCAAACGGAAAGAAGCGGTTTCGGCCTAGAGCATCCCGAGAGTCGCCAGGTCTTGCTCCAATCACGTAGAGACATTCAGCTAAAATTTTAAATGTTTTAATTATTAAATTATTATAGAAATCAAACTTAAAAAAACCCATACCAATGAGAATGTCCTCATGATCTTCACTTTTATCGTCAGCACAGCCTTTCATTTTCCCATCAAATGCATCATTTACCAGGCCCGACACGGCTGCCATGCTCATTATATAGCCTGTAATAATTTGCAAAGAAATTAATCAGCAAAAAAATTTATTTCTGTCCCAAACCTGCTCCTCCGCTCATGTAGCCAAGTGGTGCGTGTGGTTTGAAGCGAAATCCAAAGTAAATCAGTTCCTTAGGAGAATACGGAAGGAGCATTGACCTCAGATTTTCTACGATGACATACCTTTTAATTTAAATATTTTAATCGTTTGCTTTTCACGGTGTTCTGATTTAATAAATGTTCTCTTACGTGTCGTCATCTGCCTTCATGACCCAGTCGTAGTCATCCTTGTATTTGCTGTGGATGTACTTGAAAGCGCCCACGGTTTTTGCCCATAACCCTTTACGATCTGACGGCACGTTCAGTTTGACTGAGGGTAGTTCGCGATCTGTGTAGAATTTAATCAGCATTTGATCTCTATTTTTGGTAATGCGGGGGACCTGCTACGTCACTAATGAATATGAGCTTGTTGCAATGCCGCCCCCAAGTAGTTTTGACGTGAAATGCCTTGTCTTTGTGGTTCGATTCGGTCGTCATCACCCAACACAAAACTCGCACTTTGCTCGCCAAATTTCTCGCATTCATTTCCTCCGCACCTGCGGATCATCAGATCTATAAATATTTTTCCATGTGATATTATTTTTTTTTATAAAAAGAAATAAATAATGAAAATATAAATTGATTTACTGCGTAGGAGCTCCAACGCTAAGGACGAGTTAAGCTCCATGTCATGGGCCAATTGTAAAAGCGTCTTTTTCTGCGCTGCCTCCTGCGGCGGACAGTCTGCTGGGCTTTTGGTCCTTTCAATTAATTAAATTGAGAAAAAAAATTATCTCAGGCAATAACTCGTACTCCATTTCCAATTGAGCGACATCGTGGTGAGTAGCATGTTTCAGTTTGACAAATAGATCTTGCTCTAAAAAACTGTGCGACACTAAAATTGAAGACATCGCAAAGCCAACCGCAATTCCTACAGCGAACGCACACAAAAGCCTGGGTGCTGAACTTCTACTACTCCTTACAATTATTGGCCCTAAAATAGAAATTATTATCAAATTTACAGTTTTTATTGTTTTTTAATTTTTTACAAGTGAGAAAATATGATCTTACCAGCATCAGCTTTTTGCATTTTGATCATCTTAAAAGCCGCCTCACGTCATCAATCACCGTAAAATCAAATGCAGAGATTATAAAAATTTATTGAATTACCAGTTATTTTGGCAGCTGGCATGATGCATGCCTAAATGTTTCATGAAAAATGTTTACAATGTTGGCGTTCTCCGCGTTCTGCTTATCGCTATAGGTGAGGCAATTCTTAAATTCTTATCTCTGAAAGTGCAACCTATATTCAATAAAAAAAATCGGTAAACTTATCCTATCGGACGAAGCGTATTCAAGCAAAAATTTTAGTTATGAATTTATAACTTTTTGGATCGGTATATCTGCAGAGTGTGATATAAGATAAGCCTTAGATACGCATAATTAAAGTCACAAAAAGTGATTTTGATGTAATCAATTGATTCATTTGACATTTATATCAACATTATTTTTTGGGAACATTTAACACTGCTCCCAAATTTTTATCTTTTGTCAAGTGTTAAAAATAATAAAAGCGATTATTAGATTGCGGTGAATTTGGTAGTTAAGAGATTTTCACTATAAATTATAAACTGATATGCGTTGAAAGCTTTCACGATATTGAATAATTTTAGCTAACAATGAAATATATATTCACTATTTTCAAAGTCCTCAAAAAGTAGAGCTAATTCCACCTTACACGTTTTTGGAGTTTAAGCGCTCAAAATAAAAATCACCATTTAATTATAAAATGAACTGTGAGGTCTGTGAGAAATAAAGAAAACCTTAGCCTAGTCCTAAAAAACAACTCTACAGTTTTGCAGTGTACTTTTTTTTATTGAGTTATTTTCAAACATGTCAAAATAATTAATTAAAAACCGCACAAAGTGCTCTTTTTTACGTTTATTTTTAGTGGCCGCCAACAGGCATACCTATTGACTTAAGAGTAGTAGAAGAAGTGATTTCTGGTATTCCTTCTTCAGGAGCAATGGCTTGTGATACGAACACGACATTTTCCACCCTTACAATGTACGCCAAGTACTCAATGGTATACATTTTCAATGGAGGAATATAATGCCAGGCGATGCTGTTCTCTCCGCAACACGCTAAGCCCTTGAAAAAATCAAATTAATAAATATTTATCAAAAATTTACTGAAAATTTGTTTTGAAATATTTCAATATTTTATAATGTTACATTTTTTACTGACTATATAGTCAAAGTTGTCACAAATTTTTAAATTTACTTAAATTTATGAAGAGTTTACAAAGTGTTTTAAAATAAAAATGAATTGATAAATCATAGAACTGAATATAACAGATCAGTGAAAATGGTTTTTTTTTATTCTCGTCCTCTTTGGGTTTTCTAAAAATCCCCAAAAATTTGATTTACATTTTCCGCACCTCTCCAAAAAATTAAATGATTTCTGGCCTTGTTTCGCATATTTTTTTCCCAAAGGCTTCATTGAATCTAAATTTGAATAATTCACCTTTTTCCACGTCCAATAAAAGTATTGCCAAAACCACGAGATCGGGCCTTTTCTTATGATATTAGGATTCATTGAAAGATGTGTTTGCACGTTAAAACAATGCATTCTGCTGCGCCCTTGGAAATCTCGCGAATCGTCTGGCAAAACACCTACGGAGTAAAGACATTGTGCTATTTTTAGGCAAAATTGGTTATATTTTCACACCGATGTAAATGTGAACTTAACCAATTTTTACGTCGTCGTCGCCAGCAGAAAAAGTGATGTTCGGACAGTCGTTGTGTTTATTGTCAAACGCCTTGGTCACAACCCTATCCAAAGCCTCTTTACTTAAAATAACACCTAAAATTAAAAACAAAATTGTTAATAGTAATTTTTACTTAAAAAAAAGAGGAACACTTGCCTCCTCCGCCACTAAAGTAGCCCTTTGGAGAATGAGGGAGGAATCTATAGCCAAAATATCCTGGCTGGTTAGGGCTGTAGGGAAGCAACATTTCTCTGACATTCTCTATTATGGCATACCTATGAAATGTTGTTTTTTCAAATTGTAAATTTTAAGTCTGGTTTTACGTATCATCGTCAGCTCGCAGGACCCAATCATATTCTTCTCTATGGTACTTGTGAATATATTTATAAGCACCGACAACTTTTGTCCACAGCCCGTACCGCTCAGATTGCACATTTTCTATTTTAATTGTGGGAACGTCGGAGTCTGCAATGAAGATTATTAAATTTTTGGCCGGGCTATTTGATCGAGATATTTTATTCACCTTCCGTCTCACTGAAAAAAAGAAGTTTGTCGCAATGCCGGCCCCACGTTCTTTTCACAGACTGTGCTTTGGTTTTGTGGTTGCGTTTGGCCGTCATGACCCAACAAAGAATTCGCATCCTTTGGGCAAGTTTCGCTCCTTGAATATTTTTAGCCTCTGCTCGCAAATTAGATTTGAATTTAATCGAAATGCACTCTAAATTTTTAGTCTACTTGAATCCAACATTCTTGCTAAAGTGATGTTTTTACTTGATTGGTTTGTAATAAATTTAGTGTCAACTCGAATTTTTACTCCCTTATTTCTGGAAAAAAAAAACAAAAAAAAAACACTATTCATTTAAGTGTAAAAATTTAAAATGATGAATTTTTAATATCCAACCGTTTAGATATACCTCTTTGGTTTAATAAAAGTTGAACATCCAAATTCACATTTTTTTTACCTTTCCTGGAGAAACATTTTTGGGTTTTTGGGAACGTTGAACATTAACATCGCCATGAACATTCCCAGCAAAAATCCCAGTAAGAATGCACCAAAAATATTGTACAAACACTGCTCCAATATTGAAACCATATAAATATTTTTGTAGGCAATTTTTTTGTATTTAGCCATTGCTAACAACAGGTGAAGCTAAATTTTATCCGAACAATGCTCATGTTCAGTCGAAAATTAAGGGCACATTGCAGCTTTTTACCGTCTGCGTAAGTTCCTGTAATAAGTCAAACCACGCGTTGGGGAAATACAGAGCGTGATGGACGTGCATCAATTTGTCTTTCTTTGACAGTTACTGCTCGTTATATTATCTTTAAACTCATGCATGACATTTTTCTTTAATACTAGTTAAACAAATTATAAATAAAAGGCAGTCATGAAGAAGATATTTGCATGTTTAGCAGTTATTAATAATAATTATTTTTTATGTAGTGTATAAGTACCACTCCTGGGGTTCAAAAGTCACCGAGCTGCAGACAGTGAAGTTTTTTTAGAGAATAAATTTTCTTTGTACAAATGTAAAAAAATTCATCAGAAAAAAAATTAAAATCATTTTTTAAAATTCATTTTGTATCAGTTCAGAAAAATGGTAATAAAGGTAGAGTAGGAATAAATTAAATGAATTTGAATACAATATATATAGCTTTAATTAATAAATGTAAATTTGTTATTAAATCATTTCATTTTCATATAAAATTAAGACCGGAGTGTATGGTTTTAATTTTATTTTTGGAATTTTTCAATTTGTTCTGCGTAATTAATATTGATCGAAATAAATATAAAAATTATCTTTAAATTGTAAAAAAAACTGCATACATTATTGGAAACAATTGGAAAGGTATTTTTAAATTTAATTCCAAACTGTACCTCAATCATTGGAATAAATCAAATAATGATTTATGAAATAATAATCAAAATTAGAAGCTCTCTCATGGAAATAAAACTTAAATCTTGTGTTACTACTTGATAATCAGAGCGGTTGTAATTACTGAGCTTGCAATATATTCACGAATTACTTTTTTCATTTATATTAATCGATATTCATTTAATTTAAAAAGCAATAATTGATCAAATTGATGCACCTACTACGATATCAAATTCAGCAAATTTAAGTTGAAGTCGCTTGTGGATTAAAACTTTGAGTTTGATGTTTTAGGCACTATTATAGTTTATTCAATGATGCTAATTTATAACATGCAGTACACCAGGAATGTCAATCTCATTAATGTAATGTGCTGCTAGCAAAATAGTTTGGATATTTCTATTGGTATTGATGTATAATGAGAGGCAGAGTTTAAACTCCAGATGGTGTCGGGCCGTTGACCCAGTCCACAATCGAGCAATCCTTCCATACGTACTGGCCTCTTGGCTCCTTCACATCTGGTATCAGAAGGGCACAATGCAGTGGGGCAACAGCACCTTTGAAAAAGAAAAAAAGTATTTCCATTTGCATTTATAAAAATAAAAATCAAAACTTTTGGCAACAAAATATTTACCTTCTTCAATGGTGAGAGGCCCCTTGTGGCTGGTCATATCAGTATCCACATAGCCTGGGTGTACACTGTTGACCACTAGGTCAACTCTGGAAGTGTCGTTGTCGAAGGTCCTCTGCTGGATTTGTGTCAGGGCGCTGACTCCAACCTTCGAAACCACATAGCAACTGTTCGGATACCCCAATTCATAGTGGTTTCCAGCCTTTGCTGCCCTAAAGTGAAGAAAAGGTAAATAGAAACCTTTTTTATTTAAATTATTTTTGTGCATACTTAACAAAATTGGTCATAATTTCGCAGAGTTCCTCCTCAGTAAGGCTGGGAGAGGAGAGTTTGGCTCTCAACTCAGAGGCCTGAGGCTCTTGGCCACTAATGCGGGACAAGTGGCCACAGGAGCTCGAAACATTGACCACTCGTCCGTGGGAGCGAAGCAAAGGGAAAAGTGTGCGGCAGGTGTTCAAGACCCCAAAAAAGTTGATTCGGATCGTGTCCTCAGCTTGCTGCCCAAATGGATCAGTAGCATCATTCTAAACAGAGAAAGTTCAGAATCTTTTCCCTTTTTAAGTTTAAAAATTTTACTTTGTAAGCAATGGCAGCATTGTTGACAAGCATGTCCAGCCCTCCGTGCGTCTCCTCCAAGAATCTCTTAAACCTGTTGATGCTTCCTTGGTCATCGATGTCCAGTTGATGATACAAAGGTTTATAGCCCAGCTGAAAATATCCATTTTTATTATTGTTCAAAATTGTATTTTTACGGCTGACTTTTGATTAAAAATATACCTTATTTAATTTGGCGACGGCCTCCCTGCCTCTGACTTCATCTCTCGCTGTTAAATAAACGGTTCCATTGTACCTCTCGCAGAGCCCTGCAGTTATGGCGTAGCCAATTCCTTTGTTGCCACCAGTCACCTTTTGTGATGATTTGGAATTTATTTTCAATGTTTAATCTGATATTGAATCTACTTATTAATTAATACGATAATGCTTAATATTCATATTCTACTGCGCCAAAAATATACAGAGAAATTGTTACAAAAAAGTTAATCTTACCACTGCTACTTTTACTCCAGCCATTTCTGCGACCTCAGTTCCACACTAAAAATCAAGCTCTAGTTAAAAATTGAAGTTATTATCAAACATCTCCTTTAAAGCCTATTAAATTTTTAACATTGATAAGGTTCAGTTGGGGAGTTTATCTTTAGTTCTTTAAATTATATTTTTATCGTAAAGCCGGCACCCACAAATATTTTCAGTCTCCTAAAACGCTTATAAAAATTAATTATATTCGATAAATTCTACTCTATCTAAACTAAAATTTAAGACTTATTTTGGTGCGACTTTTGTACTGCTCTTGTGCCCTTAAGTATAAACGAAAAATTAAAAAACAGCAAAGAGTGCCTACACTTCAATCTTGTTTACAGAATTCGGCTTGGGGGCTTGAAGCTCGATTCTCCTGCTCATTGGCCTTGAATTTGGTTTGTTGCCGCTCAGGACTACCAACATTTCGATATAGCTTGTCCCCTCAAGAGATGTTTTTTAATTTAAATGAACAAAAGCTGAATTGATAGTTGTAACATGTCATTTATTACATTTTATCGTACACCTACAGAGAATTATTTTTCTTTTTATTTTCCGCGTTTTTCTTGTCCATTTTAAGAATATAGGAGACATCAGTCGCAACAATGAGCATTGTTTAGCTTAACTTCAGACGGCGCGCTCTATCTTTTTATTAATCTGGGAGGAAACTGGACACATGTTTGATATTTCAAAAAGTATATCACACAATTTAAAATTCTGCAATAAATTATCATTACTCGTATGCACGTTACAATTATTGCCACACTTAAAAGACAATGTGTCGATCAGTTACCATAATTATTCTGATTTTTTTGCTTTACAATAAGTACAAATCGGAGCAGACGTTTGACTTACATGGCTACTATTCACAATGAGCTTTGGCTTAAAAGATAATTAAGTACGGAATACTGCCTAAAAAAACTTAATGGGAATACAAATCTTCGAGAGCAGCATTACCAGCAATACTGCTCGGGGGTGTGCTATTTTTAGAGCCTTTTTTGCCTTTCTTTCCGCCTTTAGGAGTTATTGGCTTTTTCGAGGAGGAGCTAGTGGTGGACGTCGAGTCCGCAGGGGATGAGGTGCCCGAGTGCTCGGTTGCATGGTCCCAACTGGTTCCCCGAGTCAGGGCATCCCGTACTGCTTGACTATCCCCGTCCTCGTAAGAATCTACGTCGACATTACCTACATTATCACTATCCACTGGCTCAGACTCTGTAAAAATTTGTGATTAGTAATCAAAGCCAAATTAATATTTTAAATTATTGCAAACTTACTAATATAAGTCCCTAATAATTGATTTTGCTCATACTGAGAACCCAGAAGGGCTAATCTGATATTTCTTTTCTGCTCGTCAGAATGTTGAGGGCACCTGCAAATTTACCAAATTAAGTTTACGCACAAAGTCCCAAAATAAAAAGCTACCTCAAAGATCTAGTGCACAGTTTCCCTGTGTGTTCCGAAACGACTCCGCACATTTGCAACAAAAGTGACTTTTTGTCCATAACTCCTAAAGTCTCGTAACTGAGAGGACCATTCGAAAGGGTGGTAGATTGCTCTACGGGCACAACCGCACCCTCCATCGATGCGAAATTGTGGTCTGCAACTGTCGCCGCCGCCGCAGTAACTGACGCCGAGGCTCCGTTTTTTACCTGCAAAGTTTTCTGTTGTAATTATTTCATTTTTAATGACCTCAAATAAATGAGCTACTTTTGAATTTTTCTTCCTGTTGTTGTGTTTGTCTTTTCTTTTCCTTTTCTTTTCCGTCCCTCCAAAAGTCCAATCTGCGTCATCCTCGTCGTCACTGAGGATACCGGTCGGGAAAGCACTGCTGCTGCCTCCACCGTTACTGCCCGTGCCGTTCCCCTCCTTGCTACTGTTGGCGATTCTTCTACTTGCAATTCGCGAACTGTTCCTGCCCATACCCATACCTACAAATGAATGGAAAAATTAATTTATTTGAATAAAAAAGTTTTTTAAACAAACATTTTTCAAGATGGGGTGCAAATCTGGAGGCGGCGAGGGTGCGATTGCAGCTGGGACAGATGCATTCGTGCTGTTTGTTTTTTAGGGCGGCCTGTCCGAAGACGTCCAGGTTAGGCCCGATCACGATGGAATGGCTCTGCTCAGTTTCGCCATTGCTGCCTTTGCAACCGTCCTCGACGGCCAGGAAGCCGAGTTTGGAGGCGCGGTGCACATCAAATATGACCCCCATCACGGCGTCGTCCACCAATTCCTCGAGCACCGACGCGGACAACCGGCTCACCAGGCCGTCCATGTTGATCATTTGGCCCCTAAAATGAAGAAAATTAATTAAAACAAAATTAGGGCAACAATTTAATTTTAATTTCTATTTAATATTTTACAACTTTTTTAAATTTTCAGAACAAAAAAGGAAAATTTAATATTTTTGCAACTTTTTATTTATTATGTGTGCGATGCTTCGGACCACTCCTTGTTTCCGAAGAAAAATGTTTCTCAGGACATTTTTAATGTTTTATTTTTGTTATGCTTTGCAAGTGCGTTGCATCTGCGCAATTCAATTCCAAGGGTCTCCGGCTAAAAATATCGGCGAAAAATCTCCAGAAGCAACTTTTTGTCAATTTGAATATCAATTAAATCCATGCAATTCGTATTCATACAAGATCAAAACAAACACTAAATAATGCATAATGATTGAGGATTAAAATAATTTAGAAAATCGGGTTATTAATAAAATCCGACGCAAAATGGCGATTGAACTGCAGATCGAACTTTGACACAAACCAGGACAGTTCGAGCAAGTCACATCGGCCTCCTGAATTCGGCAATTTTGATTTGGAGAGGGCCGAGAATTAAGCGGCCGAAATGACAGCTGGCCGGGTCAATGCTCCGCCAATGCCGTTACACACGCCGTCTCGGTGGCCCCGCAAGCGGCGCCGCGGCGGCCCCGAACGCGGCCAGGGGCGCCGATCGTACCTTGGAAGGCTAGACGGGCGGCGAGCGCGTCCGGCTGGCGTGCATTTCGTTGAGGGCTTCGTCCCGAGCGATCAACGTCCACCGTCCGTGCCGCAAACAAACCCAACAGCTGACAAAGACCTCTATGTGATGACGTCACGCCCCTGTAAAGCAGGCAACCGACGTCGATCGCAGCTCGCTGCTGTGCTGCGGCGCGGCGTGCCTCGCAGGGGCCGAGTGGCTGCAGCAACAGGCTTTCCGTGTCGTAACCCTGCAATACAATGAATGGTACTTTGTATTTTATATCACACTCGCCAACAAGATCACACCGAATTAGTTTCAAGAATTTTTGTTGCAACTCACGAATTTGAGGCATATTATTTTTTAATTTCAAGCGTAATTAATTATTTCTTCAAAATATTGATATTTAATTTAAATTACAATATCTTTTGTTTAATTCGTTTAATTTTTTATTTTTACTGAAAGAACAAAAATAATTAGCTCCTTTGTTTATTTTTTTCTAGTAATAATTTTTTAAAATTTGCACTGCAACTTTTCAATATTTATTCATTTTGTATTTTATTCCTTATCAAACTTTTGAAACAAATTTTTATTTCATCCTATATTATTTTGGTTCTGATTGGTTCTGATCATTCTGATGTCAGAATTTTCTGTTGCTCCAAATAACTTTATCTGCAAATAAAAAAAAATGTCACATACCTCAAAACCTCTGTAAAATTTGATTATTTGTAATCAGCAAAGAACAAACTTTAAAAATATATCACATTTAAAAATTAGTCGCCCACTTCAAAGCATTTGAGCTCAGTTTAAAAAAACTACCAGCCTTGCAAATTTTTATAGACTAAAAAATAAAGTGTCGTTTTGAGCAAAAGTCTCTAATTTTAAAAGATTTTAAAGATTTTTAAGCAATATTTTATACTCAATTGAGTACACGCAAATAAGCACCTGTGCAAACAAAAATAAAATTTATTATATTCTTGCAGAATTTTTGCAGCATCTCATCGACCGTGAATAGTAATGGCGCACCGCAAACACCGCAGTGCAAATCAAATAATATAAAAGTTGCATTCCTTTTGAGTCAGGCCGCCGCCAGCAGCAGCAGCAGCGAATGGGAAATCGTAAAAGCTCTCTTTGCTGATGTCAGCTCTCTCTGCTCGCGCGACGAGACCGCGGCAGCAAATATCATGCTTTTCATGATAATTACGCGATTTCTAGCGAAAAGAATATGCGCGAAGTATTTCTCGCAGTTGGCGCCACTCTTCCGCGAGCATTTTTCCATTTTTGCAATAAAAATACAAACGTCGGGCATCGCTACTGTGCACCGTGGCGCCGCTCGCTTTAATTAGTTGCGCTTATTGTATTTATTAGCGTGGACGTTTGCATCATTATTTTCATAAAGGTAATAAGAACGTTGTTTACGAGATGTAAAAGGGACGCGTGTGTTAATGAGTCAATGATTTAATTTGTGGCGCCAAATAAGCCAAAAAATGTTTACTACCCTTTGGGCATGTCTTGCCTAGTTGAATGAAATACAAAATGAAGTAAGAATTAAAATTCAAGACGAAAACAGAAAATACATTATGGTTCATATTCGAATTTTAATGGACAAAAGAGAATAATTAAATTGGAATACGTTTTACTTCATCTACGATATTTACTTATGTTTTGATATTATTTTAATTAATCTCAATTTAATAATCGACATGAGACAACTAAATAACAATAAATATTTTTATTCTTAACTTTGCATGAATAAAATTTTCATGAAGTTTTATTCTAAAATAAAATGGCAAAATCAAACTTAATTTAAAGTTCTGAATGTTGTCATGAAGAGTATCAAAATTTTGGGATCAAACAATTAATTAAGAATAACAAATAACTACTTTTAACTTCAAATATTAATTTGTTAACATTGCTAAAAGTTAAAAAGATCAAATGATTAAAAAATTTATAATAAAAACAAATTTTCACATCATGATTGGAAAATGTTTAAATCAGCCGGGGAAAATTTTTCTGTTAAGAAAAATAAATATTGTTCAATTCAGTTCAATTATTAAACGTTCGTTATGAAAAATATTTGCTAAGAGCGACTATTTTTCCTAAAAGAAATGAATTGCAGATGATGAGAATAAAATTCACCAGAATAGCACATGCCTCTAGTTACAATAAACACAAGCAATTATTTTTAAGCAATTATTAAAGTTTGGATGATTTTGTTCAAAATTGTTTTTTAAAATTTGAACAACAAGAAGTGAATTTAAATGGATTCAACTTTTTACCATTTGCATTATTTTTATAAAATATTTTCGTTTTATTCAAGGAAAGCCATGCAATTTTTAACACCAAAGTTAAACAGACATTACAAATTAGATTCTAAAGCACGCTCGGATTGATATAGACACGTTGTATGCAAATAATTCATCATTTCACTTTTTATGAATTATAATGATTTTTCTGCTGACCAGCTGGACATAGAATTTAAAAACAAAACCGCCAGAGACCCACATGACGACCACCTGTTGTAAACATTAGATGAGCTGTTATTGCCAATTATATAATATTTTATTTACACTTTCAATTGACAAAGTTTTTTCTTTCGATTTCGGCCTTGCCGTTTTCCAAGTAGAGAAGATTAGGCGGAGCTTGAACGTGCCAGTATATATGAAAAAGGCAACAACAAGTGCGCGGGGGAAGTGGGGGCCGCCGCGGCTGCTGCTTCGGCACCAACCGGCGACTCGGCACTCGCGCTCGAGACCTGAACCTCCGAGGTTGCTAAACAGTCGGAGCGTCTTGCTGTCCTACGTCCGGTGGATGCTGGTCTGCGGGTGCTGACCATGATTTTCCCTACTGGTGGAGGCGCCGCCGCCGACGGCGCCGGTCCCTCTGGGGGCGGCCGAGCGCGCCGCATGCGGGGCGGAAGCAAGAAGGTGGTGCAGTGGCGGCAGCAGAATGTGCAGCAGGGGCTGGTGATCGTGGACGAGACGCAGCTGGCCAAGCTGATCAAAAGGGAGCCCATCGAGAAGTACTACGACATGGACCCGGCACCTTTTGCCACGTGAGTTGCATTATTGATTTTTTATTTCCATTCTCTGCACCGATCGCAATCAAAAATTTATATTTTTATTTTCTTTTCCGCTCAGTTGTAAAAAAAAATTGAAGTGCGTATAAAAATATAAGTATATGCGTCGAAACGAGATAATAGAGGATGAGTCGGGAGATTTCACAAAAGACAATGGAAGGATTTATATGGCAGGGGTGCTTCTTGTTGCAATTAGAGAAACGCTCGCAGGATTATGGTGACCTTGGTATTTATAAGAGGCTTTTAGTTTGATTAGTAATATAATTCACCCGCTAATGGATAAATGACGTAAATTAAGTTTATTTCGCTTTAGACTTTCATAAAATTTTATGCACAAAATTTACACTTCCTTATTTTTTTTACTTTTGTTTGTTTAATTATGAAAAAAAAGATGATGATTTTTAACTAACCTAAAAATTTTGTACAAGAGGAGCTTTTATTTACTCTATGTTAGTATCCTTAATATGTAGACCGTTTTTGCATAATTTATTGTTAGATCAAATGTAAAAAGAGACTTCAATGATGGATTATGCTTCAATAAATCACGCCGGAAATTCTTATAACTGTGTAAAAGAGACACTTTCATTAATATTGCCAATATTTATACGTGACATGATTTTTTTTTAAACCATGCTCGGATTTTCCCTTTTATTCTTTTGTGGAAATGAGATAATTTAATCAGCACGGCTTTATATGCAATATCAATTTGAAATAAAAAAAACATAAATAATATCATTATGCCGCACGCCCACCCTTTGATATACGTGAGTTATGATTGGTGCGGCTTTTCTAAAATAACTCATAAATCTGGCACGGCGGGGAGTATTACAAATAAAATTAGCACTGCCATTATGGGAGAGAAAGAACGGATTTCAATTTATCAGGGCAGCCAAAGGCGTAAGTTATTGTTTAGTCCCAATGAAATAGAATAATTCAATTAGCTGTTTTAGCCTAAGGATTGATTACAATTTTTATGAGAAATTTGAAATTTTAAACAAATTGACTGCTTTTATTTTTGTGCAATTTTCTAAAACCTTCAATGATATTGAAAAACAAAACAAATTTCTTCTTTATTTATAATTCTGGTTGAAAAATGAATTATATAACAAAATTCCTTCTCATTGTCAGTAATGACTCTTTTAAATTTAATTATCGTTTCGAAGTTTTTCATCTTAACGTGTTACTTAAAATTTACTGCGGCCTTGACGTATTGCGGTGTAATTGGACTGACTTTAATCCGTTTGTATGACCGGTCGCTTTACTCTTAAATGCGAGATCAATTCCGGGAGCGGACTTGCTGGGCAACGTTGATCAGGCGAGTGGTTTTTCGGACGACCCACACGCGCGAAGGCACATTTTTATTTTCGTGCGAGTCGCTGCTTTTGTGAGTCATGCGTTCCTCCCACATGCCTCTAATCACATAATCCGCGCCAGCTATGCTCACGACCGACCGACCACCTTCAATCTAACGCTCTTGAGATGCTTTTTTGCCGACATCTCTCTCGAATATTTCTTTCGATAGCGTCACAAAATAAAAAGGATCTCCAACGACGCGGCGCCCCAAATTGGTCACTTCTTTATGGGCGTTTGTATCTCTCTCTCTCTCCAAATTTACGTTTCACTTTATCAGCGGTGATTTTGAAAGACATAAAGCGCTCTCCAGGTCGGATGTTGCAGAAAACTGGCGCCAAATAAACTCGTCTTTATGTTTCTTGTTTATCTTGGTCGCTGCCATTTTCGGAGAAGATGCGAATCAAAATATTCGCGCTTCTGCTTCTACAGCGACGCCCGCGGCGCTTTCATTCGCGTTTTCTCTAAATGCGGACGTCTTTTTGCTTTATTTGGTGTGGCTGTTAATAAGTTCCAAGCAACCGTGCTTAGCAGTTGCTGATAATCATTTTTAATAACGCACCGCCACCGCCGCCATGTTCATTACTTACAAAAGAGAGAAGTTTGTCGCCGCTTTTATGATATATTGCGTCGACCACACGAATATTTTAAGCGTTCTTTTCATAAAGCGAGCTGAGTTATATTTTCGCATGCTCAGACTTGGATGAAAAAAATAAGAAGTTCGAACCAGAACTCTCAGGTTTCATCACCATAAGTGCAGAGGAGTGCGAATGAAAGAGTCCACAAAGCATTTTGATAAATTGCCACGCGACGTTGTGGGGCATAATGTATGCATGCAAATTTTAAATTTTGCGCTCGGATAAACTCGCCGAGCGCAGCGGGTTTTGTTATTTTGGATGTGTGCCCCGCAGAAGTCGAGCCCAGAAAACTGGCAACGAAAGGCGAAATCGTGTTTCAGGGCCCACGCTCTTTCGTATATAGGGCCAATAATTCATAAAAACGGCAATTTGTTATTCCTTTTTTTGTATATAGACAAGCCTCAAAGGCTCCAATCGTTTATTGTTTTTTGTTTTATAATCTATTATTCCATTCTATAAAGCGTAAAGAGTGACCGCTCGGCCATTAAAAATAAGGTGCCATAAAATCAGCCATTAAAATTTTTTCCCAAAAAAAAAAAATCATTATTATTATTTATTCTTCTCAAGTAAATTGATGAACTATTTAAAAAAGGCAAAAATTGTTATTCCTAGAAATATTATAAAAAAGCTTAGGAATGAAAAAACATTCGACACAGCAAGTGATATGTATATTTTCTCATAATAATTTTTTGTTTAGGCATTTAATGTTTATTTCATAACCAAAATAATTTTTTGAGCTCCCAATTATTTTGAAAAACACAAATGAATCAGTTTTCCCAATTGCGACGGTCACGTGCCAGTGAGATAGAACGGAAGAACTTTAGCGGGGGCTTTTTATTGTTAGCGGAAGCAGCTGCTGGTGACCGACTCGGTAGCGGCGTATATAGTTGTAAAGAAATGGCCAACACGCTTCTGGCCGCCACAATATCGGTCACCTTTTATGTCGGATTGTACTTGGTCCTGCGCCCCCGCACCCCAAACTACGCCATCCCAGAAGATGGAGATTTTTCTGGAGGTGGGAGTTTTTAAATTATAAAAAGTGATCTAATCCAAGGTTTTGTGAATAATCAAGAGTTTGTGGAGCTGGCGAGTGCTCGAAACAGAACTCCGCTTTTTACGAATCTGCTGATTTTCAGCCTGGCACCATTCGCCAGAGAAACCAGTGCCAGAAAACTCTTCCGACGGTACTTTTAACTTATTATAATTCAAATTTGCATTTTGATCTTGCAAATTAGAATGTCTGCCAAAAATAACCTGACGCACATTTCATCGTCTGATCTCTATGACGCCGTGACGGACGAGGAAAAAAGCGCCAAATTTGCACAGAGTATTACAGTAATCGCCGACAGGCAGCAAACTCCGGTCATCTACGACGCATATCACCCGTTTGTCGATTTCGAGAGGCTAGTTTTAGCAATTAAAAATTTCTACACTCTTAATTAATTTTTAAATAACCAGGGTGGCCTTCATGCCTCGTCCTGCGTACGCCGCCTTGGTGGCGCATCCTGTGGATACATTTGTAAAGGCGTTTGCCGCGAATCGCACCAAACATTTTTGGCAGGCGCGTCTGTCCAAGTTGCCACAGAAAAAGCGCCGCCTCCAAATGAAAGCGATTCTGAACTCGACCTGGGCGATAAAAGACTTTTCCTCCTGCGTTTTGCAAGGCGATACCGAATGTGTGCCAAAGCCAGGGTCCATTCGGAATTCGCTCGTTTCACAATTCTGCGGTACAGCGCCCGACTGCAAGCAAGTTTTAAAAAATATTAAAAATATATGAGATTGAATAAAAAAACAAAAAAACAATTGACTTGCAATCTGCAGAAAGCATCTCAGCCGAGAGGCTTTGCAGATAGCGAAACTCAACATGGAGTCGCAGTTCTCCGTGGTCGGGGTGGTCGGCATGGAAATTGACACCCTCCGCGCCCTTCAGGCGTATCTGCCTCTTTTCATGAAAGGCGCTTTGTACCGCAAATCAAGCAAGTTGACTTTTTGGTTTCTGTCGCGTGCATTGCGAAATTTAATTCTGTTTGAAACGCTAGACCTAGGCGTGGAGGAGGAGCTAATCCTGACGCCAGTGGTTCGCAGGAGGTTGATGAAAGTACTTGCACTAGACATCGAGTTGTTCCGGTTTGCGCAGCGCAGGCTTGACATTCAGAACAATGTGTTAAACTCCAGGTGATTGAAGTTAATAAGAAAATCCTCATTTTTTTATATATTTAGTGGCCTTTGATGCTCATAATAATAGTTCTGTTAAATATAAATAATCTGATCGTTTAAAACTGGTTTAAAATTAAAAGATAGTCTCTTTTAAGAATAGGTATTATTTTCATTTATTATTATATAATTACTTTTATCACCAATGTCACCACTACAAATAGTATTTAACGCAAAATTTCTTTAAATAGATTTACTGAATTAGTGAAAATATGATGTATTAATTTGTTAGCTTCTTTTTTACAAATCGTTTTAATATAATATTTTAATATCAATTAAAAAATCAATCATCGCATTGCGTTATTAAAAATAAAATGAAGTATTTTCAGCTAACTTAATGGCTAAAAGTTGATTATTTATAAATCCCATTACACCTCTCTACTTAAAATTTGCCAATTTTTTTATTGCTGCAGTCATGTTTTGCCGAAATTCTCATAAATACTTTTCAAACCCCACGCATCGCAAACATTCACATTAATCACATAATGCTAGAGAAACATGCACGTGAAAGAAAGGAGTTCGCAGCCAGACATTATAACATTTGCCCACACTAATTATTATGCGAGAGAGCAGCCGTGGCACTGCTCACTTCACTGGCCGCGCACTGCACAAGAGGCTGCACACGCAACTTCTATGCATCGCCCGGCGTCCACGGCATTTGAATGAAAAAATAAAAGAGTCCTGTTCGACATGGGCATAATGAGCTCCACGATAAACAAACAACAAATGACGGCATTTATTTTTTACACTCTAATTGAAAACCAGTGTGCTGTGTGGGTTGCCGAGCTGTAAAATAATATATTTGCTCGGCGCGCGTGAATCGGTGATTGTGCACTTTATTGCATTGCAAAATCTCGGCGTTCTCACCCATGTCGTGCATATTTATGGGACCCAATAACATGCACAAACCGAAATTTCTGTGTTCTCGCCTGCGACGAGAAAAAGACGCACCCTCTTGACAAGCCGCCCTTGCTGTTTGCCGTTGGCTCTCTGAACTTGCAATTTTCGCAATGTGTGGATAAATATCAGCACGAATGACTCGTCATAAATCTCTAGAGTAGGACAATTATGTATTATTTTAGCGTAACCTTTTTCCACTCGCTGTCATTGTATAATCCTCTTCACTTTTAATATTCACTTCACCTCTCAGTCAGGCACCTTGTGAAATACAATTTTTATAAATATGTGCTTGGCACTCCTGCTCTCTCAAAGGAATAAAGAAAGTCATTTATTTGTGACACACTGTGCAGCTTTTTGAAATGGACTGTCGATCGGACAAGAGAGAATAATGTCAGCAGCTCTTGTCTGTTTTTATTAAACTTGTCGCTCTTGAATATTTTTACAGTAATCAAGATATATATTTGAGTCGAGATCAATCGATCGGACGTTCTGCAACCCGCGCGCATGGATTACTGTAATTAAAATTAATCTTTGCGGGCGGTCCCTCTATATCAAAGCAGGAAAATCGTTTAATTATCAGTCTCGCACAAGGAAAGCAATTAACTACCGCGAGGTTTAACGATGCCAAGAAAAAAATAAATGTGTAAATTCAGCGACCAACGCTGCCGCCATATCCATTATTAATTCAAATTAATCAATACTAGGTCATGGCGTTTTGTTTCAATTGCGGCGCTGCTTGTGACATGTACGTTGGTGTATCTTTACATTTTGTGCTATGGCGCATGATGTATTGATGAACTTGTGGTTTTCGCAACCACAGAGGAAAATGCCGAATAAAAAATTAACTTGCGAGATTTTTTATTTCTGCTTTTCTCTGGTTATGGTGGTTATGAATTACATTACAATAAAATATACTTGCATTATAAGAAACAGTTTTTCCTTGTTTCTGCAACAACCTTAACGATTAATTATATGCCTTAACCCAAGAGAATAACTTTAAAATTAAAAATTATCAAATTTAAATTGCATCTTCATTAAATAAGTAAATCAGAGCATACGCCACATTGTTTCAATTTGAATTTTCTCTAATGAAATTATTTATTAAAACATTTAACTTCTTTGATTAGAAGAAACTGATATGAAATATTATTATTTTATCACTATAATAATTTCAAACATAGAACTTGCAATAAATAAATAAAATTTAGTCGCTTTTATCTCCAAACTTTTAAGCACTTTTAAGCAGATCCTGCCTTTCTTAATATCTACAACAGTGTAAACACTCCAGTTCTTTTATTTCTCCAATGTGGCCGTAAATTTGCATCCACTTAATATGTCTTGGGCACTAATGCATGTTACCCACACCGCTTGTATCGGCGCGCAAGAACCGGTGGAAGTAGCAATAAATCGGTGTAGAGGCGCGAAAAAGCCGCCCTAAAAGGTGTAGCGGCAATAAAAGCTGCGATGATTAGCTCATGATTTACGACACGCCGCTTGTTCTCGGCGAGTAAATACTGAGCAAGCTGCTTAATTAAAACATTGAACACAGCCGTAAATCTATAAAGTATACACTGAATTGCCGGGGCCATAGATTAGAATCAACTAGACTCGTTTTTGCGTTCTGAGCCGTAAATCACGCTCCAGCTTTTTTGCTTTACTGAACAAAATGTTTTAGTCCCTATTAAGCTCTACCCTTGGCGTGTTCTATAAAATTATCTTGAATAGTCCACACATGCCAACTTGAAAGACGCGTGTTTATGTTTGTCCGGCCAGAGCTAATTAATCCATTGACATAAAATCACGAAAGTGAATTGTACGGTGTAATTGCATTTTATGTAAAGTCGTGCAGGGCTTCTCCATGTAGGCATTAAAAATTAAGATTTATTCTGCTTAAACGTTTCGCAACAGAAGGGAAAGGCAAAATAATTGTAATATTAGGGGGGTTCTTTATAGATTAAATTTTAAATTTAAATAAGCAAATTTGCATTGTTATTACTATAGATGAAATGGATAGACAAGAACAGGAAAAGAATTATGAAATTTGCATATATTGACTTCAACACAAATTTTTTTCAGAAGAATTTATGAAAAAAAATATGGCATTGAAAGAAAGCTATATTATTTTTATCGCTGACAAATTAGGCTCTATTGTTGAAGGCAAAATGCGTATAATATTGGATTCGAATTTGTCCACATTCTAATCAGATCATATAATTTATTGCCATTTTCCTCGCAGTAAACAACGCCTAAAAGGTTCTAAAGACAGCAATATTGATATGCACAATCTCAGTGGCAGCAACCTTTTTAATATTCAAATGTGCCCTAAAAGGTATTATTAGCAAAAACAGAAACCATTCTCTCAAGTTCAAGCGCTTTCTGGCGCGCGTAATTTATAGCTGGAAGCTGCTGCTGGATCCGCGTGCAATAATACCAAGAAAGAGAAAGGTCAAAAGTGGGATAATAGTAATAACGTCAGATTTTTTTATTTCCTGCAATTTTATGGCTTTATTAGCATAATTTTTAAATATTTGCTATATTCAGGAAACATAATTTTTTCTCTCCACATTTTAAAACTAATTGTAAGAAAATGAAGGCGAAAAGATAGCCTTCTTTCTCCATTCTTATAAATACATTGGAATTTTTTTCAGGGGTCAAAATAATAAATTCATGTAAATTAAAAAAAAAGTCTTGTTTTTTATTCAATGATTTATGAAGATATTGAGACGAATGAGGCTCTCAGCAAGATGGAGGGTGTTGCAAAATCATTTCCTACATATAAGAATTACGGCACATGTAAACAACTTGTTGTCTGCTCTTTTTCTCTCTCTCTCTGTCGCATTCAAAGAGAGCAAATTGCCTGTGGATCAAATTACTTTTAGCACATAAATTACAGCTCGTGGCGTTCACAATACAATAAGTCTTCTAATTAATTGTGAATATAAGTTTCTTTTCTACAAGGCGCGTGAGTGTTTGATCTACATGGACGGCTATTCGCAGAACGTGTATAATTGCGAATTAATGCAGCAGTTCGTTCGATCGCTTTCTTTCATAGGTGCACACAGCAAGTTGAATAGTTCAATTTGCATAAGCAATAAATTAGCAAGGAGCAGTGCGACGGCTTAGCGGCAGATTAGATGTAAAGCATTGCGTTATCTTCTTATTGGTATACACACGCACAAATTGTTTATGCCACTGCAGCCACCTTATCGCGCCTATGAGTTAAGCAAATTGAGCCGAAGACTTATGACTTGCTTACTTGCTGTAAGCTCTCTTTGAAAATTTATCACCAAGGCTTAAAGTAATTTTTTTCCAGATTCGTTTTTCTTAAGTCATGTACGACAAAATTTTATTTCCTTTCCAGACACTCCAATTAAGTCATAATTTTAAAACTTTTTGCGTTTTTATTACTCCATATAGAGTCGGAATCCGCGATTTTATTTCACACACTAAGTGGCTCGGCGTTGAATTAATGTTGCGACTTCTCCCAGGAAGGCCAAAGGCAAGCACATTATTGGGTGCCTCTACGCTTTTATAAATAATTGAGAGAAAACAAAGCAATGGGCACCCTGCGCGCACGTTGTAAATTCCTGTTGGCCCGGCCGGCAAAAAAGAATCTCGACTCAAGGTCTACCTGCTTGTCTTATTATTCGCAGAAAAGCAAATAGAATTTGAGTTTAAAATGTGATTGTGAGAGGAAGATTCTTTGGAGAAAGAAAATTCGCCCCGGCTGTCAGAGAAATGGAACGCCCTAGGCTGCATAATATGTGTGCAAATTGAATAGAAAAATGGCAAATTACTGTCGACATTGTGTGTGGCAATTGGCGTGGTTGCGAAGAGAAAGAGGTGGCAAAGACGTCACTCAAAATGACTTCTTCATATTGTTTTCAAATCAGTGCCCAAATGTGTGACACGCTTTCAATAATAATTGCCGGCGCTCTATTTTCAGCTCTTTATTTTTAGCTCGAGAGGAGGCGGACCCACCATTTATTGTTATTTTTTAATTTTAACCACCGCCGGAATAATAAAACTTTTCAGGTGTTAGCGATATTATAAGAGGCTTGCTCA